AAAATGGTTTAGGGTCTGATGGAACATTTTTAAAAAACTAGACAGATAGTTTTCCAGTACCGAAATTTCCGGAAGTACCAAACATTGATGTTCGCTGTGGTCCGAAAAGAGAAGACATTGTGAAGATTCAAAAGCTTTCTATAATATCGCTGATGAACCCTAAAATTTGGGAGCTAGAGAGGTCAATTTTTTTCTTCAGTATGCCCAAAACTATTGAAAATCTGCGAAACACCAGAAAAGCACAGTTGTTAAAAATAAGTAAACGTTTACTAGCCATCACCACTTCTTCTGAAGTCACTTAGCATTTCTAAGGACAGATCTGATGATCTCACAGTTTTTACCAAAAATCTTGAAAATAACATACTAAGTACTAAGTTACATTTATTGGAGTAAAATGGTTTACCGCATAGATTTTTATTATTCAAAGTTTCACAATAATGCGAGCATTTCTAAGGACAGATGATCTCACAGTTTTTACCAAAAATCTTGAAAATAACATACTAAGTACTAAGTTACATTTATTGGAGTAAAATGGTTTACCGCATAGATTTTTATTATTCAAAGTTTCACAATAATGCGATTTTAAGTGACAAAAAATGTATAGGGTGAATTCACCATGCATCGGATACCCTTGTACTTCAACAAGTTCTAGCGATCTCGCTACCGACGGAAAATTATCAAAATGGAGTTTAACATTTAGTTTGTGATTAAAATATCAATTTGGGACACAATTATATGCCCTTTATTTAGAAAATATCCTCAAAAATCGAGTTTTTAGGAATAACTCAAAATTCACCATGGATCGGACATTGTTTACCATGCATCGGACAGACGGTATTTTGACTGGATAAATATCATACCTTTATTAAAGTGCTTTAAAATCCTTGATATGGATATATTTTTATCTTTTATCTAAGAATTAACCCTCAATTTAAATCTAATTGACGATATCGTTGCACAAATGTAGAACGATTCAAGAGACCTCACTCTGCCTTAAAAATGCTTTAAAATGCTTATAATGCGGTAATTCGCGCCTTTTTTCATGGTTTATCATACTCTGGTTTGTAGAAATAAATTGAGTCAAATTCCAGACGTCATACATCGATAACCTGTATTTTGACTGAAAATATAGAGTTTTTATTTTCCTTTTCCGCAAAAAACAGCTATCAGCTGGGTTCTGTATGAAAATGGTAGTGCTTACCTTTGCATCGGAAAGTGTCCGATGCATGGTTAATTTGTGTCCGATGTACGGAGAAATGAACATACTAGTGAAAACCAGCTTTTAAAAGAATTATACGAACATTGAAGTGAAATTTCTTAAAAGATTTATGTAAAATTATCAATCTTTGACTTTATTCACCAAAGTCTGCCTCGTTCCGTTGAAGTCGAATTTTAAGAACGATAACTCTAAAAATCGCAAAATCTTAAATTCCTGGTTGTTCCCCTTTGATGATGTAAAATATGACGTAACTTCAAGGCCATTCTCGAGGTATTTTTATCACAACATGATAATAACAATCGGTATCATTAAAAAATTTAAGTCTTCAGCTTCAAGACAGAAACAAATAAATACACGGAACTCTTAAGTTGAAAGAGAGTTTATTGTCTAAAGTTGTCCGATGCAAGGTATGTGTCCGATGCATGGTGAATTCACCCTACCGATAGATTAATAAGGGTGATTGCAGAACGTTTGAATTTTGAACATCATAGAAAGTTTACATATTCTTCTTTAGAAATTTATAAGTCACGCCATTAAAACCAAATTGAGTAAAAAAAATATTTACCAATCCATGCATTTATAACGAAATTTTTGGGAACGACTTTACTTTACCGGTCCCCAGAAAAACGCGCTAAAATGTAGTGTCGCCGAAGGCGACTTCAGTATATATGAGATCGCGTGAGCGATCGAAAAAAAATTTAAATACGAGGTTTTTTGGCCTTTTGACCCCAAAATTGAATTCTACGGTTAAAAGTTTAGTTTAAAACTTTGTTTTTAAACAAAGTTTTTAACCTCGTTTTCTGAAAAAAATCAATAAATAGTTGTTTGTTCACGGAAAAAATTGACAAAGAATAATTCTGAACGAAGCGCGTGCGGCGCATGCTTAGTGTCATTTCTTTCGGACTTAGCCAATCTTCCATGTAAACAAACGAAGGAAATGCCTATGAATCTGAATTATGATCTTGGAAAAATTACAGAAACAACTGAATTTCTTAACTTAACTAAAAGAACGATTCACTAACCCTAATCCATTGTATGGTATGCAAAGACTAAGACGTTCAGACGAAATCTCCCGGGCAGATGCTAAACTAACCCTAATCAGTCGAATAATGTGCGAGGATTAACCCTAATCTCTCGGATGGACGCGAGACTAACCCTAATCAGTCGAATACTAGTGCAAGGACTAACCCTAATCTCTCAGGTGGGTGCAAGACTAACCCTAATCAGTCGAATAGTGTGCAAATTTAACCCATTTCAGTTGAGTGACGTAGTTGTTACGTCATAGTCCAATGAGCGCGAGGATCTTGCGGATCTGGGGACCGGTAAAGTAAAGTCTACCCACAAATTCGACTAAGCTATCCTTCCTCTCTCTCCTTTTTACTGCAATATATTTTTCATTATCATATTAGAAGATTGTGAGTTTTCATGTCTAATAGCAATTTCAAAGAAAATTGAAAAAAAGGAGCGTACGCAGTCATTGTACACTAATCAGCGAATGAGGAATTTATTTTTTGGACTTGAGGCAATTGTACTTTGTAAAGGACTATTAAAGGTGTATATAATGATTTTAAAAACCATCTCCTAAAATAAAGGGGCGGTGGGTAATAAGGAGGTGTCCATTCAAACGTCCTTCCATTATATTTTTTACATTAGGATGAATCAGGAACTATATACTTAGTATAAAGGTTCCTGGGGGAGATAGCCTTTTCCTGTAAATCTTCTTACACCACTGAATGCAAATGGAACTTACATAATTTTTTTTTTTTCAAAAAAATAGTGGAGTTGCCTCCTTTTACATGGAAGCTAAAATACATCCTTTTTTAAAAACAAGAGGCCCATGGGCCACATCGCTCACCTGAGAAGCTTTGACCATTCTCTTCTTTACCAGATTTCCCCCTTGTTATACATAATGCATACCATGCATACCCACCCTACCCCACTGATCATAATTTAGACATTTTGAAATCTACACTACCCCATGATCCTTCCATGGGCACATATGTTTTGGCTTTTTTGGCCCAGTGGTTCCAGAGAAGAAGATTTTCAAAGATTTTTCCTATATATTTCTATGTAAAACTTTGATTCCCTATAATGGCCCCGCCCTTCCCCCAGGGGTCATGATTCCTACAATTTAGAATTAACACTACCCCAGAATGCTTCCACATAAGCTTCACTTTTTCTGGCCCAGTGGTTCTTAAGAAGAAGATTTTCAAAGTTTTTTCCTATATATTTCTATATAAAACTTTGATTCCCCATTGTGGCCCCGCCCTTCCCCTGGGGGTCATTATTTGAACAATTTAGAATCTACATTATACCAGGATGCTTCCACATAAGTTTCAGCTTCTCTGGCCCAGTGGTTCTTGAGAAGAAGATTTTCAAAGAATTTTCCTATATATTTCTATATAAAACTTTGATTCCCCATTGTGGCCCCGCCCTTCCCCCGGGGGTCATTCTTTGAACAATTTAGAATCTACATTATACCAGGAAGCTTCCACATAAGTTTCAGCTTTTCTGGCCCAGTGGTTCTTGAGAAGAAGATTTTCAAAGATTTTTCCTATATATTTCTATATAAAACTTTGATTCCCCATTGTGGCCCCGCTTTTCCCCCGGGGGTCATTATTTGAACAATTTAGAATCTACATTATACCAGGATGCTTCCACATAAGTTTCAGCTTTTCTGGCCCAGTGGTTCTTGAGAAGAAGATTTTCAAAGATTTTTCCAATATATTTCTATGTTAAATTTTGATACCCCATTGTGGCCCCGCCCTTCCCCCGGGGGTCATGATTTGAACAATTTAGAATCTACACTACACCAGGATGCTTCCACATAAGTTGCAGCTTTTCTGGCCCAGTGGTTCTTGAGAAGAAGATTTTCAAAGAATTTTCCTATATATTTCTATATAAAACTTGGATTTCCCATTGTGGCCCCGCCCTTCCCCCGGGGGTCATTATTTGAACAATTTAGAATCTACATTATACCAGGATGCTTCCACATAAGTTTCAGCTTTTCTGGCCCAGTGGTTCTTGAGAAGAAGATTTTCAAAGAATTTTCCTCTATATTTCTATATAAAACTTTGATTCCCCATTGTGGCCCCGCCCTTCCCCCGAGGGTCATTGTTTGAACAATTTAGAATCTACATTATACCAGGAAGCTTCCACATAAGTTTCAGCTTTTCTGGCCCAGTGGTTCTTGAGAAGAAGATTTTCAAAGATTTTTCCTATATATTTCTATATAAAATTTTGATTCCCCATTGTGGCCCCGCCCTTCCCCCGGGGGTCATGATTTGAACAATTTAGAATCTACACTACCCCAGGATGCTTCCACATAAGTTTCAGCTTTACTGGCCCAGTGGTTCTTGAGAAGAAGATTTTTTAATGACCCAACCCTATTTTTGTCTTTTCTTGATTATCTCCCCTTGCGAGGGGATATGTCCCTTCATTTTAACAATTTAAATTCCCCTTCACCCAAGGATGCTTTGTACCAAGTTTGGTCAAAATTGGCCCAGTGGTTCTTGAGAAGAAGTCGAAAATGTGAAAAGTTTACAGACGGACAGACAGACGGACAGACAGACGGACGGACGACAGACAAAATGTGATCAGAAAAGCTCACTTGAGCCTTCGGCTCAGGTGAGCTAAAAATTGTAAATTGACTTTTTGCTATTTTCATTGAAAAAATATTTTTTATCACTTGGGTTTTACCATCTTCATTGATATCTCAATATTTTTTGTGGATAAGACCCTTTCCCTCCTCATTCTTTTTTTTTAAGTAATAAAACATCCATAAAAGCAAAGTTATGTCCATTTAATATTGGAAATGATTGTAATCACAGACATATATAATAATTAACATGGCAATAATGGTCACAATCCATTGGATTTTTAATAAATAAACAAAATTCACAGCAGCAGTGAACACTATTACATCTCACTAACAAATCTCATCCAAGTTAATTCATGCATGAAATAGAGACTTTATTGTATTATACACTTGTACTACCTAAATGTGGACTACCTCAAAACAAAGGCAAGACAGCTAACTTATCAATCTTTGAAAACAGATAATCAAACTTTACCCCTTCCCCAAAAAAGGATACTTTGGATATTTTTTTTTTATTACAAAACAAAACTTTTGCTGAGGTGAAGTCCAAAGATAGGATGCATTCACTTAAAAAAGCTTCTAGGTAAAAACTTAATTGAGACTAATTAAAATTCTTATGAAGTACTTTTTTATTGTCATAAAAAAACAAACTTTCAAGACTTACTTTAACATATTTGAATTTTCATAAAATTATTTATTGTAATGAAACTTAAATAGAGAGCAAAATTTTTGGAACATCATTTTTACATGTCCTGTGTCTCCTGCATTTCAATGGAAAATCAAAGTCCTTTAGTTTACAATTGAGATTATGGCTCAAACAACACCAAAAGCATGTAGTTATTATTTGCACATATTGAATAGCTTATACATTGAATCAAAAGTTTTCAAAGTCCATGTTTAAGTTATCTGAGGGATTAAAAAATGACCAGTTTTGATGCAGTGTATAGATTTTAATTTATTTTGATCCTAGAAATTGATTTGGAATGTCTTTTTCACCAAAGCAACTTCCATGCATACTGATTTAACACATATTCATACTAATGATTTGGAATGTTATAGGGTATGCATTCATTTTACTTAATGACCAAGTACATCCAAAACAAACCTTTCAAAATCAACAAAAAACAACATTTGAGTACAACCCATACTGTACCAATGCTAACATACAACTACTTTGTCTTGCATAAATATTTTTTGATAATGGCAAACAAAAGTGTAATACATATAGCTATGAAAAGTATTAGATGAGCAAGCAAGGGTCTTTTGGCTGCATATACAGCAAGAAGTAGCAACTTCATGGAAAAACACACACTATAATTCAGTGTTTAATGTTTAAAAGTTCTGTGAAAACTTAACAAGAGACTAGAATACATATCCAGACATTACTGGTCACACGACCATCCTGGTTCAAACATGTGCTAAACTAGTTCCCAACATGAGTTACACTGGTTCCAAACACTGTTAAACTGGTTCCCTTTCATTTTCACAATTGCAATAACAATACATTGACACAAGTTGACCAAACTTCCTCAGCCCTCAATAACCTTGTAGTAAGTAACACTAGTGTTCTTGAATACTTGATTCTCTGTATGAAGAATGTTGATAGATAAACATTTCACAGAAACATCCGGTACATCAAAACACTAGTTGAATGGGGAGAGTAAGAGAGGGCAATGTTCCCTCATTCCGCAGACACATCCTGGATGACAATGACGCTGGGAGCCGCGTGTTTCTGGAGGACCATTTCCGCTGCGTCTTTGTTGTGCGTTACGAACACCGCCAGTCTGTTGACGTTGTAAATACCTGGCTTACTGAAACACGCAGTCATGTGAACAGTCCGCTGCTGGCTGGGTTCTAAGCTTAATTTTGTCATAGTCTGTGACACCCAACTAAAACTAGTTAGATGATGAACCTCAGGCACAGCGTATTTCTCTTCTGGTCGGTTATTAAGCCTGTAAAATACATGTTATGATGCAAATTGTATTAGTAAAATCAATGAACAATTAAACATAACAATTATAAAACTTTATGTATTGACAAAATTTTAAAAAGCTGCTATAACTGTATCTTTTTTTAAAAAAAAAGAAAAGAATATTAATATAAAAGCAGAACTACCGTATGGTCTGTAAAACGTTTACCTATCAGGTGATTTACTGGTGTCCACTAAAATCTCTACAGAAGCCTTCGTACAGTTCCTCAACAGTAGGGTAACAGGTACAATGGCTATTCTATATAACAACAAGAGACAAATACTTGTCAGTGCATTTGTATGATTGTTTAATACATAGAATGATAGGACTTATGTAGGTACTACATATTGAGATAATTTCCAAATCAAAAACAAGTAACACAGTGCAAAATGGTCATGTTGGTAAAAAAATCTAATGGCTATAATCAAGAGAAATACATTACGATGAATCACAAATTAATTAAAATCATTTTTAAGAAAAAAATCTTCACCTGTTGTTTTGGAAGTTGTGTGGTACTTGGGCCTGGTGATTAAAGTTTATATCCACCAGTTGTGTGGTGACCTCGGACTCTGGTCTCGGGTTATCCTGTTCATCTCGACTTTTGGTGAAGCGGATTGGAGGTTTCTCAGTGGGAATCTAATTTTATAAAAGTATTATTTATACACAACATATTTTACACTCCAACTTTTAGAATTTTTTATATATTACTTACCTAATAAAACTTTTAATCCGTAAAATGTATATTTTTTTTACAGATAATTTTTTTATTACTTACAATATAGAAAGGATAAGAGGTAAAGATGGTGTCAATCTTTTTGATGATCACATGGTGTTGTCCGACTTTAATTTGTAGCTCACCATCCTCTGATATCACACAGGCCTGTAACAGTTCAACCAAAACACATTAGAAAATCACCACCTGCTGTACATACTTAAATTTACAACTACAAGTAATACACACTGGTCATAAAGCTATATATTGAAAAGTTCACAGTATTTTTCAACACTCTTTTAAGATAGCATTTTTTAAGTGGGAATAAGTACACAGAGAAAGCAAGAAAACGGTTTTGCAATACATTTTACCTTGTGTTTTACATATGTAGTTAAGGATTAATGATACTACATCTATGTTAATCTATATGTTTACTGTAAATCAGTTTTTAAGATTTCTGTCAGCTTTTTTGATCTAACACAGTTAAAGTGTTAAGTTTCTTGCCTAATAATTGCAATTCCAAAGTCTTTATCTAAAATATTCATTTTATTTTCTTCTTGGTTTGATTTTGTTCTGAAAAAATCTATACCTTTTAGCAGAGAGATAAAGATATTATAAAGTCAGTCTATACCTTCCATAGTATGATCAGTGTCATCCCTAGCTGGATAGCACAGTTTAAGTCTCGGAAGTCTTTCTCTTGTGATCTGGACACTCGCTCCATTGGGGCAGAATTTTCTGGATCCTTTTGTGACCTTGACCTCAGAAAAAAATCTGCACATGGAGTTGTACTGCTACTTATCTGGAAAAAAAAGAATAGTTTGTCAACAAAAAAGTTAGAATCATGATTCAGTTCTTTATTAGAATAAAGGTGAAAATTTTCACGATAATTTTTTTAAGTCTAATAAAGAATTATGATAAACATAATGTGTCTACTTATGTACACTTAAAAGATTAAGTACATATCAATTCTGAAAATTTAAAGGTTAAAATTCACTTACTTGTTGATCAGAGAAGGACACATCACTAAATATCACAGATTCTTTACCTAACATGGAATCTAAAAATAAAACAAAGGAAAAAAATAAGAAGGTATTTTATGTTAATTTCTTCCTTTTCTTGATATGAGGTATATGTAACCTTTACTCACCTAAGTTATTTGCACTTTTTGTTGCCTTCAGACATAAATGCATCGTCTCCCTGCACCCAATTATAATTTCTGAAAATTCAAGGGTTAATATTTTTAAAACACTTATAAATGATATAATCAACAATGAAATTTGGATCAAAGTAAATTTTGTTGAAACTAAAGCCCTTCCTGTAAATTTTGTCTAGAGTAAAATTGTGTTAAAACTAAAGCCTTTTAAATTACCAAATTCACACAGAAGTTATTTCCCAAGGTTTAGTCCTGTTTAAGTTTCTATATGAACTGTGAAATCATCATTATTTATGGGGGGAAAAATGTTCCAAAATAGCCAATTAATTTACAGTCCAATCCTATAATTTTGTCAACATACAGATTTAGTTAATCTTGCATCTATTACCCCATAAAAATTATGTACACACTAACCAGTAAAATTGTTATTGTATACAACCACTGGTATCCAAGAATTGAAATTATTCCACAGTATACATACATGTATAACATTTTAAATAAAGGATTTTGTGGTGAATACCTGGTTTGTCCTGAGAACTGAGGTACTGTACTGACCATAGGTCACTGGCACAGGAAACCTGATTCACTTGGATCTCTTTAACATAAGCCCTATTGGACTGCACCTGTAAGGAAATATTGAGGTGTAATGTATAATGACAATTCTTTCATATACATACAAAGAGCAATTTACGTCAAAGGGCATGAAGCTAAACTGATTCAAAAAAAATTTCCATTGGTTATTTCAAACTTCAATTTTTACATCTGATAAAGTTTTAACATGTACACTCATTCTGTACTTAAGATATGTGATATGTGGCTTGGAAAAATGAATTCTTCCCTTTGAAGAATGATTTTAACTTATAAATATGACAATACGGTCCATACCTGGCTAATATTTTCCATTTCACAGGAGAGGATACAGCTGGCCTGGGAAGATGAGGACTGGTGAACACTGTTTGCTCTGTGAGCCACTGATCGAACACTTAGGGACTCCAGGGTGTTTATAACAGCTGTATGTCTCTGTAGTCTATGTCTGTTAAAAGCATGATAAAGTCAAGTATATGTTCATAAAAAAAAAAATTCATCATTACAGGCAAATCTCTTATACTAGTATTTTAATCTTATTTACATGTATTATTGAGCAATCAATATCAAAAGACTTTTCATTATTACATGCAAAGATCTTATTTTAAAACATGTCTTACTGAGCAATCAATAAAGGTTTTGCAATCCTGAGCTTATCTTTAGCCCCCACAATTTAAGGAAAATATAGCCTATTATCTATTCTAGACTGTTCCTTAAATTTTATAACATTTATCAGGATTTCTTACCTTGTTTTTAAATCAAACAATAAACAAGTATTAACTTACCTGACTTTTGGAGATTTGGTCACAGGTTCATAGTAAAACATAAAATGCACATCGTGCACTCCCCCAATGTCATTACCCCTGACCCACGCCGGCACCGATATGGTGCTCTTGGGCTGAAGTGTCCGATTGGGCAGAGGAATGTCCATCACATTGCACACTTTGTCCTTTGTATTACAATAACACTTGGTCTCTTCACTTGGCACTTCATTTTTAGTCTGATAAACACAGGGAAACTTTGGTAACTCTCCATGATCCCCCAGGGTTATGAACTCGGGGGTAGAGGAGGCTAGTTTAAGTTTATGTAATGGACTTGTTCCTATGTTTGTGAACTGTAGCATTACTGCATGTACCTCTCCACAGAGTAAACTCTTTGGGAAATTGCAGAAGGAAACCTATGAAAGATGAAGAATTATTGCTTAAATCACCTTCCATTCATTATATACAATTTATAATAACACAATTTTAAATTGACAATTTTATTTCATATCTGGAAAGTTTATAAATATTTGAAATGACGCACATGATGTACATGTAAAATATTTTCTTCAAGTACATTTAGAATACTAAAACATGTTATTCCTTGTAATAATTGCTTGCACTTTCTATGCTAGCTAGTGAAACCAAATTTATAGATGTTTTCCTTAAAACAAATCACACGTGTCATTTGAATTTTATTCACTCATAGACTAAAACTTGACCCCTAACCTGCAGTTGAGGCATTTCTGGCTGTATGACCAGGTCTAGCCTCCGGTCAGGTCCGTACACCTTGCTGGACTTCTCCTCCTTGGTGTTGTTTAGCCGCGGCCCCTGGACGTCCAACCTCTGTTTCCCCCTGACGTACACAGTGTTGGCCGGGGAGGGCTTAATGTTCCTGTCGTCTGTCAGGGAACTGGAGAGGTTGTAACAAATACCCACAATCCTCAGCTCTCCTGTCTGATGAGGGGTCAACGTAAACTGCACCTGTGTAACCAACGTATCAAATATTTTAAGAAAAAATCTGCTTTACAGTTATGATTATTGATAGTACATAAACTATTTTTTCTTAAATAGGAAATCCTGATAGGATGTGGTCATTTACATGCAGTAAAATTAGACAGCAGCATTTTCATTTGGATTTTGATCCTAAACAAAATTACATATAATTAAAAAAATTTTCTTATTTGAATAATCTGTCTAAGGTAAATGGTTGCTTACAGGAGATCTCTCACTTCCTGGTAAAATTATTTCATCTATCACCTGTGTGTGAATGATTTCATTGGCCAGGGTATTCTGTAAAAGCAAATAACAACTAGTAGTACAACAAAGCTTAAAATACAACCTGTTCCACCTAAGCTTACCAAGTTCAGCAGAATGACAATAAGATTCTATTATGCATTATCTATAATGAAAAACAAAATGATTTCCATAATAATTAACTACCTTCACAGAAGAAAACACTTCATTAGTAATAAGCTGGGGTTTATCTTGGCCAGGGATGGAGGGAAGGAAACTCCACAGAAGCGTGACCTCTGTCAGTACCAGCACCACCTTCAGAGGGTTCACCAAGTACAGCTCCACCGTCACAGGTTCTAAATAGAGGAAGGTACATGAATTACTAAAACATGATGACCAACACACTATTGATGTTTCTAAAATACTTCTCTTCTAAAAGGGTTGATTACCCCACCCCACCCCTCCTTCCCCTTCCCTCCCAAAGGAAGGGAGGGGCCATACTGTTGAAATATATTTGAACCAAACACATAATTCATTTGTTCTTTCCTTATTTTATAATTGCATAATTAAGAGAGATCTAGCTTGTACCTCCTACATAAGCGACTGGGTTGAACCTGTTGTCGGTTTTATTGGTGAAGCACTGGATGGTTGGTCTGTGGGTGACAGGGAGGATTCCATTGTTAGCAAAGGACACCAGGGCTTCCTCCAGTGCCTCCCAGCGGGGGTGGTTACTCTCTGTATAATCGTAGCCTATGTGGCCTGGCTTATCTGTAATGTAAAGGTTAGATTTTTTATTTTTTCTGCATAGAACAACCTAATGATTTTTAACAAGTAAAAGTAAAGGAACTGACACCAATGATTTTTTTGGCACCGTGAAAGAAAATCAATTTTAGATAGTATAATACATGGCTCTCTTTTTACCATTGTTTGTACATGAATGTCTGTTACATGTATTTTCCCCAAAACACAGTACCTTGGTTATGCTGTGGTTTGTGGCCTACGATGACTTTTGTAGCATTATTGTCTAGAATAGGGATTGGCAGCTCGGGTAATGTATTGGAATGAACTCCACCATAATTAGACATTTCTACACTTAAAAGTTGCTGAAAAAATAAAGACTTCAGAATTGAACCCATATTCTTGTTTCCCACTCAGTAAATGGACTTCAAAATTTAAAAAAAAAATCATACTGACCTTATAAACAAAGAGGTATTCCCTAAGAAAAGCATTCTGCTGACTAGGAATTTGTTTGCTGTTCTCTGTCAATAAATGCTTGAAAGCAGCAGTGGCATTGTCTAATTGTTTTAAGTTGAGGGACTGTCGACCTAGGGTGAAGTTTATATGATCCTGCAACAACAATAAACATTTCCGATAATTTTTATCACAAAATTGACATACACTGTAGTCACTACATATATTTTCAAGGTATTATATACACAGTATGCTGTTTAAAGTAAACTACATGTAGCATTCAAATTGAAGAGCATGTATCAAATATAAAAAAAAACAAAGTGACAAATAAAGTACATGTGTATCAAACTCTAAAAATTATGGAAGCCGAAAATGTAACTGGAACTATAATCTTCAATTCTATACATAAGTTGCACAAGCATCAATCCATCCAATATGTAAACCTACCTCTGCCAGTGACCAGCTTTTGCCTTTATACACCTGCAGGGCCTGGGAGTAGGACCGTAGAGCGTGCTTTCTCTGTCCAGACTTGCTGTACCGGTGACCAGACAGAATCATGTGGAATGCGTACTTCCTGACTTTGGGAATCTCCATGTTAATGTAACAGTGGGCAGCTTGCTCCAGTAAAAGAGCACTCCTTAAGTCAGAGTCCTACAAATATTGCGAAAAAAATGTCATGATTTTTCCTTATAATGTGTGAAATAAACTTTATCAATTCATTGTTTTTACATTTCAATTTTATAATACATATCACTGAACTTTCAATTCTATAATACATGTATGTAGCATTCCCAAATCTTCTTCTGATTTTTAATCCATTATAAATTATTTCATTAATAAACAATCCATGGCACTTCAGCGTTTACCTCACTAGTGAGCTTTATGAATTGTAGAGCAGCCTCGTTATACATTTTTCTACTTTTGAGAGCCTCAGTACTGACTAATGTTGCTCTTGTTGCATATAATGGATTTCTAAAACATCAAAATAATACAAGTATTACATACATAGAATTCCACTAAAAGAAATGACAAACAAAGGCTTATGTCATCAAGTATTAAGTGAAAGATAAACTAAACTGAAAATTTATCTCTTAATTTAAGCATTGAAACCTTGAGAGTGTTACCTACTTGCAAGACTGTAGATATGTGGTAATCGCAGACTCCATGTAATGAAATGGGTATTTCTGTTCTCGAGGATTTCCACTCATAAACAAAGATATACAAGCCATTTCCTAAATTCAAGAAATGAAAAAAAATCACAGTTTGCTAGCATTTCTTGCTGAAATCCTTATCATTAATAATGTATATGATTGTCTCATTTAGGTAGTAAGAAAATTTATTTTTATAAAAGTACTAGACTGTTTATATTTTCCAAACTTCAAAAACAAAAGTCATTTTGAAAACATTTCTTCTCATTTTTTTAAATCCTTCCATTTACTCACCAAAGCCCCTGCATAATGAAGCCAAGCATGGTCATTATTGAAGTCCCGCTTGGCTGCATGGTAAGTGTTATAAGCAAAATCGTACATCTGGAACAAGAAGGCTATGTCACCTAGTCGTCTCATCTGTAGTTCTGGGGCATCACTGGAGTATCTGTCAAATCAGAGGAACAACATCAAATCCACTTGTAAGGAACAATGAACAGTTATTAAAACCTTGAAACTCATATATATACTAGTAGTTAATTTATTTAGTTTTCTTCATGGATTTTGAGTGGAAAATTACTTGTACAGAAAACCTTTGGAATTATCTTGCTTAACTTACACCACTGTGGTGTTCTGGTTAGCTGCCACCTGGCCTGTAGGTTTGTTTCCACCAAACCACCGCTTTGTAGCACTGAACAAAGACTTGCTAATGCCTTTCCTTGACGCATGCTGAAAATGTTGACAAATATTAATAGACATCGAGTTTTCATACAGGGCACTATTAAAGAACAAGGAAAATTATATAATTTAATGAAAAAGAAATTATTTCTTAGAAAAAAGTACTCGGTACGATAAAACAGCATTTTACAGATCAGAATGAAAGACTTGATGCTTTTTATATAAATGTATTTTGAAAATTAATTTTATTAAAACTTTGTTTACACACAATATTCTCTACCATTTTAATAAAATTGAAAGTATATCAACCCTTTGTCTCTATAGTTTTTCACCTGTTCATTGAGTATCTTCATCTGTCTTTCAGCCCACGGTATGAGGGCTCTAACACACAACTCATGCATAAAAATCTTGATTCTGTCTTGGTCACTGGTGGTCAAACAAATACCATGACCACCCTGCTTCCTGTCCCCTAGCTTCCCCTTATAGGAGGTGTGATTCAGTTCTGGTTCATAGGCCTTGTCTGGAGAGAGTGGACTGTCCACATGGTTCATGTCCTGGGAAGGTTCAGAGAGGGGATGGTCAAATGTTTCACTGGCTATGGAACCCGATGAAGCTACAAGATTTAAGCTACTTTCTTAGTACAAAAGTTTCATATTTAAAAACTCTCTAGCTTATTTAGGATATAAATACATGTACAAACAAGTTTATGTTCAATTTGATTAAAGCAATCATGAGTGAAGATGTCAGAACATACTCCTAAAACAACACTTTTCCTTTCTGAATGGTTGACAATTACAACTTTTCTGTGTATACATGTATATTACCTGTTCCCTCCCCGGAGTCGGGGGACATGTCCACCAGGCTGCTGTTAGACATGATGGGTCCAGAAAGGGTACTGTCAGTGGTCCCCTCAGACAGTTTAGAGGGGAAAGCATCGTCAGCAACACTGTTACTGGCACTGTCATATTCTGCCCCCTCCTAAAGAGAAATGGGAAAGGTAAATAATTCTATCACAGAAAATCCTAAATTCAGTGTCTCTAACAGTGTCAGATCTCTATATGCATACATTTTAATTTTGGAGGTTAGTTTTTAGATGTATCTTAATTTCAAATGGAAAGGGTATTAAGTATCCATTAAAATATCATTGCATAACTCTCAATAACATTCAATGCCATAGTTAAAGCTGTTGGTACATTTCATTTTTCATGGAGCTTACTCTACAAGTTGCTAGATGCATTCAGAGTGAAATCCAAAGGTCGCATTTGTTTCAATTATGCTCACAACATACCATGCAAAGAAAACAAAAATTGTTTTCATAAAAAAAATCTCAGACATCATGCAAAGGAGAATTAACAAAGAAACTGTGTGAACAGAATGGCTTTATATCAATAACAGATACAATATCGTGCTTATTCTGATTCATAATTCCACACCACTGACTTTAATTATTAATCTTTCATTTGATTTTTTCTGGTCTTTGTGAAATTGCAAATTAGAAAAATTTCACCATGAACAATTTGTATAATCATTTAGTTTCACAAAATCAGGAGATTTTTTCCAATAAAAGTGTATTCATATATGAATATCATTCCTGGGAGAAATCTTTAAAATTCATTATGCTCATTTACCATGACCCATTCTGTCAAACAATAAATTTCCCCTAAAAGAAATTATCCAAGAGAATGTTTGCATGTTTTCCCAGGAAAAAGAACTATGTATGCACCATTTCCCTTACATGTAGTTTTTAGGTTTACCTCAAAAACAAAATTTTGCTTTAATACCAGTACATACATGTATTACATTCAGTACCATATATAAGGCATTTGCTGAAATAGCTTGAGATAAGAATTTGAATATATTCAAGTAAGAATTTAGAAAAAATACCTGATAAAATAAAACAGTTATACAGAAGTGTAGACAAATATTGACATCAACTGAAAAAAAATTCCGAAGAAGCAAAAAACTATCTAAATTCCTAAATTCATGCTCTTTTCAATCAAATTAAATCCTCCAAAATAATTTGGCAATTGAAATAAAGCACTAACTAATATGACATTGGAGGTCTACACTTACCCACGCTATGAAATATCTAGCTTTGTTTCGCTTTTTCTGAAATTTATTTAAGTCTAAGACTACGATCTATTTTGAAACATTTACATATTATCAAGATTTCCACATTACATAAACTACGTGACAAAACAGTCCATCATATTTCCGTTCAATGTAAATCATGCAGCTACAAAAATGATAGAATAAATATTAATTTTAAGATGCTTGTTTTTTTATTAGTATTCATTTTGTGTTGTAAAAACGATGCCTAATAACATGCACTTCGTTAATCCAAATGTCCATCTGACAATTAAATTAGCTGAGTCAGTCAAACTAGCTATACAGAAATTCTACAAAATGTAAAAAGAACATTTAACAAGCTCTTGCTAACAGTTAGTGTTACTTTCTTACTTTCTTCACACTTTGCAAGACCTACATTGTAAATTCACCAAAACACTTTTCTACTATAAATCAAAATTAATGACCAAATTTTACTCTATCTGATTGCAAGATGCTCTACCCTTTCTAAATATGCATTATCTATTTCTGAATTTTACCATTTTCTCTTTTTTTAAGTGCAGATTAACATCAATCGCTAAATTACAGTTGCTATTATAAACAAACGATTAAAACATTAACACACAAAACACACTCCCTATACTACCCACTCCTGATAAAAATTTTTGGACTGGCCTGTACTTACATTATCTGCCTCTGAATTTTTGGACTGGTCTGTACTTACACTATTGGCCTCTGAATTGTTCTTGTTGAGGAACTGGCTCCAGGGGTCCGGTAGGTCTGTATGCATCGTTTCTGCTGTATGGAGACTCCGGGAATTGATGTGTAAGAGGTGACAGTTCTGGCCCCCGAAGGAGGACTTCATACTCTGGTAGACAGCGTCCGCCCTAAATTTACACGTAAAACTGATGATGACTTCCCATATTTAATACTTTTGCAAACTTCATCTTTCCAATTGAATTATAGATAAAGCTAATATTGAAGCATAAATATGTTAATGATAGATGGTACGAGATATTTTTTATGTCCTAGTGATTCCTAAACACAATCAGCTGAAAAATTTGCAGTATCTTTAATTTTTTTAAGCGTACCTAAAACCTTGAAAATGTAGGTCTCATTTGATTTAATTTCCATTAACCTGTCCAATCATTGAATTTTACACACAGACTAAACCCAAATTGCCAGAAATTACTAATACTTAGTACTTTACTAAGATAAAAATCAATTCTGGTATCTAACGATGAACTCAAAATGTGCAAGGGAATGACAATAGAAAATTGAATATCTAACAACAACAACTGATATTCTAGTGATCAAATGCATGTCAACATAACTTAAGACAAGGGGGTACTGTACAGGGTGTCACAAAATGACCATGACGAGACACAACACTCAGTGAGGGACAGACAAATTGGTAGGCAGACCTGAGGGTAAGGTTCTGATACTGTGCAATATCGTACTTAGCGTCTTCCCCCTCCACGACGTCGTGAAGCAACACGTAGTACTTGAGGATCCCTGGGCAGAACCACCGTGGCATCTTGGTGGGGTACTGGGTCTGTTGCTGGTATTGGTTGGAGGACAGAGTGTTAAAGGCGTTTATTGGGTCGGAGTGACCTGACGATACCACAAATATACCTGGGTTATAGATAAGGATTTTAACTGTGAAAATGCAAAACTAACTCTTACATTTATTTGTACATACCTAAATCAGAAAGTTATTAAAATGTGAAAAACTAATCTGTCTGAGCATCTTTACATGAATTTTTTTTTTTATTCTGTTTGAAGGAATATACACTCTTTTTATTTTTAATATTTCAAATTCAAATATTTCTCAAAAAAAAAAAAGAAATCTGCCAGTGAACATAAATATATTAGTGCCTGCACTATAAAACCTTTGATTCATGAAGTCATCAAATACCAAAATGTTTTGGCAGACATGGTATTGAAGAATGTGTGACAATTTGTTACAAAGGATACAACACAAACAATGGCTAAGGAATTCATGATCACTTGGTGGCAACACCTTTAGGAACATGTCTCTGTAGGCTTCAAACCATGGTGTTGATGCTGAAAAATGAATGTACATTTTAATAAAGCTGTCTTCACATGATCTTCACAAGGATAACATACATGTACATTCATTCTTTGAGATTTTACTTCAAAGTTAAATGATGGCATGAATTTAATACTAGTCATAAAATCCTTTTGTTATACTCAATAGACATGATATCACAGTTGAATAAATGTGCACACTGTGACACAAGCCCCAACCTACATGATTGGACATATTCATTTAATTTTGTACTGCAAGTTCATTTCTCCTATCAGATACATATGGGTTCAAACTTACTCATGAAAAAATATTCTAAACCTTGTCAAAGTATTGAATCATTGAATCTTCTGCACATAATTTTTTTGTTATAAATGTCCACTAACACTGATCCCTATAAACAATGATAAATTAAAATGATTCCATAATATTGTCCTTACCTGACAACTGTAAATCATAACTCCCAAATGTCACCACATTGCCCCTGCCCCCCTCTCCCAGCTGTGGCTGGGTACTGGCCACCACATCATTCAACATCTTCCGAGCCATCACCGCTTGCGGCAGCTGCATGTTCATGTCCCGCATCGTAATCTTCAGATTCTTGATTGTGTGAGGGACATTGTTTGGATCTCGAATGTGAACTGAAATTTAACAGCAAGTTCTAGCATTAAACGAGTAAAAATAATGAGATGTCAGTGCATTCAATTGGAACAAGACAGAAATAAAGCTCTCAAATTTAAAGCACTTAGTATAGGCCAGATAAAATTAATCTTTAGATTCTCATCCCCGCCCGCCCCTGCTAATCTGCACACCCCCGGCGTTTTTTTCATTTTGATTTTTGGGTGTTAATAAAGGTATTTTCATGTATTTTTATTCAGTAAGAATTTGGGTGAAGTTTAAGAGTTATCTCCCGTCTGTATAAAAGTCCTGTCGCTATTTATAGCAAAAGAGCCATGTGAAGAATGGAGAAAAATCGGCAATAAAAGCAGTTTAAATATGTAAGGAAGAGATTAATTTCAGTATAGAGTAGGCAGAGAAAAAATAATAGCATAAACACATCTAGATACCATCACTGGCATGAGCAAGTTTTTAAAGATTTTTTTAAAACTAAGTATAAAAATAGACACGAAAAATGACACCTGGTCAAGTTTTAACGATCTCCAATTGTGTGTGATTTTGGTTTGAAAAAAAAATAAAACATCGTAGGCAGACTTTAGAGAATGTTTAGTGCTAAGAAAATGTTAAATCTTAAAACTGTTCATGCAGGCCTTCAATGGTTTTTTCAGTAGGATATTTTATTCGAACATTTTATAGATTTTGTAAATATGACCTATTTTATTGTCGAACATGTCATGTCTCAAGAACGATCCAGTTTTTGAGGAAGGTGGAATCTATGATATTTTACAGAAAACAGAGGGATTTGTAGGTAAAACTAAAGAGTATTTAGGGAAAGGCCGATGAGAGCCCCACCTCATTTTGTTTTGTGTGTGCCGTATATGTGTACTTGATAATTTGTTAATTAACAATAAATATCTAATAATTTAAGCAAGAATTTTCTTTAAATATTTAAAAGAATATGAAAAAAATGTTGATACTTACAATTTAACAATTATAAAAAATAAAAAATAAAATCCGCCCACCCGCCCCAATTATTTAGCTAATTAGGATGAGAATCTAAAGATTAATTTTACCTGGCCATAGGTGGAAGTGTAGGGAAAAAAGTCTTGATCAATGAAATTTCCAGATTATAGTTATATAATGTATAGTATTGGGGTATGTCATCAATATTTGATTGCCCATTAACAATTATTTAGCCATTCATCAAGTTTGCGGGAAACATTGTATTATGTAAATGTTCCTATATACTGGTACCCCTACAAAATAATTTGCACATCTATAATTCGAAAGAGCAATTAATGCAAAGAACTTATCTGGATTCAAACCAAACCTTTGTCTTTTTACATGTGTTTATTGAACCAGCTATCTGACTAAAGGGGGAAAATTGCCTGATATTATCTGCATAAAAATAAACTTGGATGCTAGTTTAGTAATTTAGTGATGAAATTTATAAATAATTTTGTCTTTGTCTTCATGTAGGAAGACAAATTCAACTTGTATCGAATGTTTGATTTAAAATAACAGAGCTATAGTATGGGGTTACAGAATATTATGATTTGATCATCAGACGGAGGGAAGGTATAACACAGCATAAGTCTTACAAGGGAGTGGGGGGGGGGTCATCTAACTGGGTCCGCCCACTTTGCAAGGCTACCAGATACACGGCTATTTGATAATAATCAACTGACCATTTTCTTAAATCCTACACAGATATTCTATTTCTCGGTACATATCTCGACAAAAGAACAATACCTTCTGTTGTCAGACGACAGAACGGTTGGACTAACTCCACGAATGTCAGGTTATTCTTTTGACACAGAACCTCGGCATCTGGACTGCACAGGACAGCCACGGCCGGGCTGAACGTGTTCTGGATAAACTCTTGGGCTGTTTGTTTACACTGAGCCATGGCTTTTGTAGAAAGGATAAAGAGTTAGAGATAATGCATCAATCAATTTCGTAATTTATGAACCAGGGATTCTCCTCAGCTGCCATCTTTGCTTGTTGAACATGCGCTTGGTCCGGCCTGCCTAATTGAAGACCTACAGGTAATTGAAGACCTACAGAAGACCTACGGAAGAACAAAAATGGGGGATATATACAGCAAAACTGATATAATATTCTGATTAAGCATTTATCAATATATAAAATACACAAAAAAGTTTTATAAAAGGAAGTTTTAAAGTGTTTTTTTAAGCTCTGTTTATTTTAAACATATTTCTTCTCTTAAGAATACCTACGGAAAGAAAAATAACTCTGGCTGACTTTTCTTGTAAACAAAACACGCTCATTTATATTGTGAAGTTTATAGGAAGAATTATATATGTATATGACATAATAAAAAAAATGCAAATGATTTTGTTGAGTTTTTCAATTATGAATTATGATAAAGAAATCAGCTGGATGATGAAATTTGATGAAGTTAAAAATATAAATAATTATCATGATTATTTCATTTATCAAATTAATATTCTACTTGAAATCTATAATTAATATTTAATAAATATTGTAATTCTTTTAATATGTTTTATGGGATAAATATTAAATATTCAATTCAAATTATTGATATGTATGCTGTGGATTTGTCTCAATTAACCAATATTACTTTGTACTAAGGGCTTCAAACTTCACTAATTTGTTGTATACACAGACACCCTAAAATATATATATTTTGATTGCAATTATCAACACACCCCATTTGCTCTGATGAATGTTAATTTGCAGTCAACAGAGCAAAAATTATAAAAAAAAATATTTCTTTTACATCTTAAAAATGCTAGCAAGAATAAACAAATAAAATTATGTGAAAACATGTGCATTTATTCAGAATATAACTTACTAAAATGAATTACGTTTTGAATTTTTTTTTTAATATTCAAAATGGTCATATTTTTTCAATATAACACATTTACATGACATTCACGAGGAATATTTAATAACTTAATTAAATGTATATTTCCAGATAAATGCTGTATGCCAAGAAATAGGCACTATAATATGAAACATAAGGTTTTATTTCTTTTACATTTTAAAAAAAAATATAAATGATACATTATATCAATCTGATTTTATTATGCCATTGTAGTTCAATAATTAAATTAAAAGAAAATACACACTTTTTAAAATTGAATAAATTAAAACCTACACGCATGTTATCACACACACACACATGCATGCATATTTTTAAAAAAAACAAGCTGGATTCAATTTACTTCAAAAATTTTTGAAAGTGATTATGTCTGTGTTCTTCTTATAAAATTACTTCAAATTTTTATAACTGCAATTTCAAAATTTTCATTCTCTACATAAATGCAAATCTTAAAAAAATTTCCAGATGTTATAAATGACATTACTAGGTATTATTAATAACAAGAACACAAATCATTTATGAATTTTTATTAATGATAATCCAACAAAATTGAACTAAATATTACACGCTACATTTAAAAACATATAAAATGCTAAATATAACGTATATAAAAATGTATGTAATTAAATGATTTTATAAAGATTGACATAATATATAATGGTATTATAAATTATGTACAGGTTTAGCAATTTTACGTCTTTAAAAGTATTTTTTTTTTAACAAAATATTTTTTTTACTTACCTGGAAAATTGACATTTTAAAAAAAAAAATCCTTTGATGTATGTATATATAAAGCTACTTATTTTTTTACCAATTCCTTTAACATTATTTTTTATTTACATTTTTCTTATATAACATTTTCTTAGTATATGTTTTGGTGAACAGCTGATTTGTTATTTAAGAATTTTTTTTAATAATAAAAGTAATGTTCTGAGAGAAAAATAGGGGGTCCCCTTAGGCGTACAGCATTAAAAAGAACACTGTTAAAACTTCAGTTGATATGAACTTTTTTGTGTAAATTAAATATTTAGAATTATTTATTGTGAATTTAATATAATTTTGATATATATATATATATATATATGTTTCTTAACAGATGTACATGTATGTCAGTTACACGATGTTTCATGAGCCTGTCTCTCTCTCTCTCTCTCTCTCCGATATTGTTTTTACACACCTTGCAAAAAATATAAGTTATAAAAATATTAATTTCCTAAAAGATTTTAAAAACAAATATCATACCAAGAAATTTAATTAGATACATATTAATGGAGCATGCCTATTATGTATCAATTTGTATTTTTTTTCAACCTCTGTTTATTTTAAACATCCATATCTTTCCAAAAGAATAAACTTAATTTAAATTAAAAATGTAATTTGGAATTTATTTTTTTCACTCATTAAAATCATAAATCACATGCATTTGAATGTCTTTCTAGTTATATACAACATACATTAATATACCCATCCTCATGCTTTCAGCTTCAACTTTTAAGATAAAATATGCAAATTTTTCATCAATGTAAATTTCATAGAAACACCGTTAATTTAGCACAAAATGGTTTTTTTTTGTCACCAAATGTGTTTTGTGTAAGTAAACTATGTTATGACATACAATGAACAAAATCGAGACACTGATGACTAATTCCATTCATGCATATGCAAAATTTCAGAAGTTGAAAATCAATAAACATACTGCATGGCTCCAAAATATTCAATAAAGTCTCACTGGAGAAAATTGGCTGCATATAGACTAGGTTAAGTCATAAAAACTTATAACTGTACAAAAAATAATTGTAGATTTATCTCTACATTTTGTAACTCATTTGACCTTTAGTATTGATGCACTCAAAATGAAATTTTACTTTTGTTTTTTAAAAAAATAGGCTTATTCATATATGTTTCAGCATTTTATCAGTAATCTGTTTCGTTTTTTATTTTTGTAAAATAAGAAAAGATCACACAGCGCCTTATTATATGCTAGTATACAGATTAATACAAATCCAGAAAAACTATAAAAACAATTTTAAATAAATACATCTTTTTATTCACAAACACACACACACAGTTTGTCATATGACAGAGGCATTACACCATGCACATGTGTACATCAAAAATTTTTCAAAGGAAGTGACTTTCGTTTTAGCGCATGTGTATTAAACACAGTAAAAAATGCCTTCAAAATGTCCACCTTTTGAAAATGGGGAATAATGTATAAATTTCAGTGCACTGTATCATTGTACATGGAAATATGAAAGACTGAAAGTAGTATGAAAATGGTTGATGGCAAAATCACATTCCAGCAATTATTTATACAATGAAAGATTATAAAAAAAATTAAGCTGATATAAAAATGCACTATTTTCAAGAATACTAAATAATTGTAAATGGTATAAATTGTATGAAGATACATGTAATATAAAATGTTTGACTAGTTTATCTATTAATACCATATTTCAACAATTAATTATAGAAACAAACATTCTTGAATGACTCACTCATGTACATGTATGCTTTTTTCCACACACTCTTAGTCTAAAATGGAATGATACAAATACCATTACTGATTAGGTACCCACTCCCGCACACATGAACAAATACACACACAAGCACACACTCACTAAAACATAGTAATAGAGGTACAGATTTGAAACAAGATCAAAACAGTTCCATCAGTATCAAACATTTCAAAAAATATGACTGTATGTACTTGTAATCTATTGTAACAGTGAATTAAAAACTACATTAAGGTTTATATTAGAATCATTAAAAGAGGCATTAGCCATGCTTTTCTCAGAGGGTTCAAAACTTAATCCTTATGTACATGTATTTCTTTACAGTATAAAAGTGTCTATTCAATGTAATATTTACATCTAATTTATTTGTTTTTGTACAAACTTAAAGTTTTACATTGGTCATTATTATACATTCCTTTGAAATTGATTTTGATAGAAAATTGGTAAACATCAGTTTCACAACTTAAAGCCTCTATAACATACATAATTATTAAATAGACCATCTTTTTTCAAGACTTCAAAATGTTATAAACATGTATTATGTAACAATAAACAGAAAATTCTTTCCATTGTAGAGGTACTTAATATCTATTTTCTTTATTGTTTTAAAGATTTGAAGAGAAGGAATAATATATATCTGATATGAAGATTAATGGGATTCCTCTGAATATCTTTGGCATCTAGGAGTAACTTCTGTTAAACACTTGGTCCCTTTGTCCCATACAACATTGTTGGAAACTTTTTTAATCGGGGCTTTTTCCTCCGAGGCTTAGAGCGCCCCCTGTAGTACTGATTGAGCAGAAACAACAGTACGAGGCCAGTGCCTATAAAGGCCAGCACTGGGAACACACTGTTAGAGTCAATGTCTTGCATGGCCCCTCCTCCTCCCTGGATGTGAGGGGCTGCGCCATTGCCAAAGTTCTCCTTGGCCTCCAATGATTCAATTAAATCCTCCTCCACGTGTCTTCTCCCCAGGGGCACTGACTCGTCTAGTCCAATGGAGAGCAGCTTCTGCTGCTGGAAAAGATTCCTGCAAAAAAAAAAAACAAGTCACATGACCTTTTAAATGACTGACTTCCTTGAATTAATGAATTTCCTGTACCATCATGCTTAGAGTGATAACTGGTAAACCCCCTCCTCTCACCATGCTGTGATAGCTAGCACCTAATTTATGCAACACTGAACATCAGCTTCAAACATTTTTTGCAAATGGAGAAATTTATCATTAATCGGTTGAATGGGAATGGGTGATTTTTACAGACCGTAAAGTTACTTAAACTCAAGCATTTGAAAATTTAAGTACATGTGCTTTTATTTATACGTCAAGAATGCATTTTTTAAACTTAAGCCAAACAAATGAATTCTAATCACTTGTAGCTAGATCAATACTAATCTCTCAAAACTCTTTCTGTTCCTTACACCAAGTTGTTGATTTTAAAAACATTCATGAATTATATATGAAATCTTTGTACATATATTATTTAAAGAAAAGACTAAACAGTAAAAATATAAAATAATTTTAAACAATGAAATAAAGTTAACAGAAGACAAAATCATGCAAAGCAAATGTCTGTGTGAAAAGTTCATAAAAATAGACTGGGAATGTTTATCAATATAGAATTCAAAGAACAAATATTTACCTTATATTTCTTGTTCTGTTCATAATTTTCAGAATTTATACATGCTATTTTGTGAAGGGAGATATGTCTTGTTTGGGAATAATGGGGATTGCATAAATGTACATATACATGTAGGTAATAGAAATATTGCACATTAAATTCGCTCAACTCGATCATCATACTCACTCTCTGTGTGTCTGAAAAATTGTTTTGATGAAAGGGACAACAGATTAAAATACAAAACAAAAGGTCAAAAATAAAATAGGGGATACATGTAGGTGTACAATAATTAGAATTAAACAAAGTATTAACTTAAGTCACTTACGATGGAGCTGACTTATTTATTGGGTGACTTGCTGCATAGATGACTCTTGGACATGTTGGCAGAATCCTTGACCTTGCTGTACCAAGATGACCTTCAAGCACTTTTGAGTATCGATGTAAATGGTTTCCTACAAAAGCAAAAAAAAAAATTCACCTAATTATCTGACTTCAAATCCTTCAGCACAAAAAATGAAAAACATGTATGAATATTTTTCTATCAGTGATTGGCTGCGTCTGCCATTACCTTCCATTCTGTTTGGGAGGTCCATTGGAGGCAGGACGACCTTGTCCTGATTTGAGAACACCTGTACTAGGTTATTGTACGCTGTGTATTCTAGGATAGCACTCAGCATCCAGAAACAATCTGCAGAATAAAGTACATGTACTACACATTTAAAGTTTTAACCTTTAAAGCATTTTACAAGTATATTTAAAACACTGGCTTCAAATGAAGCCAAAAATCTTTCTGAAAATAATTCAGTATCTGAACAAACTAGGACTAAAGTTAAAGGTTTTACATCCAAATCTGCACACGGAGAATTAAAAAGTAGGTCTAAAGTTAAAGGTCTTACATCCAAATCTGCACACGGAGAATCAAAAAGTGTATGTACAACACCGGGGTATGTGAATAACATTTCAAAATTATTTTTAGTCTGTATCACAGAAAAATGTGGAGGTTAAAAAAACAATCTGTACAACCTTGAGAGAATTTATATTAAAAAAAGAACACCGAGAAGAAATACAAATATATTACCTTTCTGCATGTGGCTGTTATCCAGACAGTTGGAATCTCCATACAGAGCCACTCTTCCACCACTGGGCTGTGCTACTGTCTGATAAAGACCCAAAATAGGGACATTCTCCTTCATGACTGATGATCCTTTCAACACCTCATGACCTGCAGCAGACAGTTGTATATGTAATATGGCATTCTTCTAACATTCAAAATGTATAAACTAGATTTTCATGAAATTTGCAGTTGCTCTGAGAGAGTCAAGTTTTAATTCCATTTCAAGAAAAGGCTTTATCACAAACCTTGATCTTTGAGTGTTTGGGTAACTATGATGCCATCATCTGGAAATTTTGCGAGACTGGCTCCAGATGCATAATACACTGAAAAACAAGGCAGAAGTTCTGATTAAAGTTCTCATTACAAGATAATATACGAGGGCTGTTCAATAAATAATGTCCTCGGTGCACAGAAAGAGGTAAAAGACGATTTTCAATTATTTATTCTTCATGATTTTATTATTTAATCTCTTTAAAGTAAAATACATATCCGTAGCATGTTTTATCCAATTTTTGATTGTTTGTAGAACTCATATTTAGGTATGTCCCTCAGTATACTGGAAAATGGCAGATCCAATGATTTCCCGGACTTGTTTCTTCCTTCTGAAAGATGTTTTTTCCAAGTTTGGAAATTGAAACAAGTCAAGAGGTCAAAGATCTTGCAAAAATTGTTACTGTGAAGAAACATTAACTTTCTGTTTATCCCGAAAACCCCTTTACTCTTCAGGGCTTGCGGGTTTGGACGCTGTCTTAAAGAAATTCAATGTAGTGGATTCCTGATTCTGGGTCCTTCCTCTAATAAACCTTTTGATTTTTTGGCCAAAAAAGTGCTTTCTAGACTCCTCCAGAAATTAAACTGTCTCTCCGAATACGATTTTGAACAACATTACCACTAATGTTTAAGAAAATTACATATAAATCTGTATTTGTGCTCTTGCATACCTGTGCACTTTTCAGACATTCGCTGTTTTTATCAAGTACATCTTATGGTAAATTTTATTTTCAGGGTTTTAAGTGATAAATTCATGTTTCAATATCTGTTTGAAAATAAAATAAACGTGGATAACTACAATTACTGATATTCTAAAATAATTGTTAAGACTTTCGTACACGCTGTCATGTTCACTCATTTTTCAAAATATAGGGACCTTTGAGTATCAAGCTTTTTTACCGCCAACCGTCTCTTAAATACAGCGTAAAATACCCCCGATGTGATGTCTATCAAATTTACTATGTGTCTTAAAGTCAATCATACAGCATCAAATATTATATGTTGAAATTTAGCGAACAGTACATGAGTTGTTACAAATTTTGTTGGCAATGAGGGTACCCATTTTTGATGCCCATTATATAATTTTTTATCATTGAAATCCAACTGCTCTTTTGTCTATAAAACAGGCATTGGTTGCTCTAAATGTCACATATTTCAGTTAATATTTCTTTGGGATTTTTACAAGTTTTACGGCAGCTTTAATGAAGCTTTTATTTTCACTCTTGTTTACTGATTCTTTACCATTCATTTATAATGCAGTGTCTCGAAAAGCCCTTGTTTTCCAGCTTCTCATGATGAAACTATGTGATGAAAAGTGGTCACATAAACTGTTATAAATTCACGAAAGATTCAATAATGAGAGAAAGTCAATTTTAATGTCATACGATATCTGTAATGTATGTCATATAGTTCAGGACATTATTTATTGAACAGCCCTCGTACAGTCATGCGATGGACATCTAAGCAAATGACATCATAAATAAAATGTCAAGTGTAAGCATATGAATCAGTTACTGGGAAAAAATTACTCTAGACTCACTTTCATGGTCACCCAGGGTAAAATCTCCCTCATACACTCTGTCACTGAAACAAAGGGCATGCACATTAATCAAACACATTTTACTAGACAAAGAATTCAGGCTAAAATTGTTTTCAGTATTCGTTTCTTGTAGGCATTATTGGAAAATCTGGTGCCCACCTGAATGCCATGCCCAGTGGTGCTAACAGATCATTTGTGGCCGGGATGTTGACTCCCCCCGTGTCTGGCATCCACCACTGTCTGCAGTGAAAAATTGACAATTCATGGTAAACAACATTGATGAAAATGCATTTGCACACAAGTACAAGGTATCTTTACAGAAAATTCCCTTGACGGATGTAATTAATGTCACATATGGTGAACAGGTTTTTGGAATAGGAAAAATATTTCTTTCTGTATGAGTTATAAAAGCCAAATATAGCGGTATTTTAAAATTCAATACAAAAAAAACCCACAAAAAACAAAATGAAAAGACATGCTGCATTATAAAATGACTCTATATATGTTCCACTATTATCATTATTTATTCCAACTCACCTTGTATTTTCATCATAGAACTTGACTTTCTTCATGACAGTCACATTGTACCAGTCAGCGAAGATGACAACTGACAACCCATTATCTATGTCTCTCTTTAGCTTGGTCACCTCCTCTGGGAAATACTCCTCCTCAGCATCCACAATCAGGAGGGTCCCATACTGACTGGCATCAAAGCAGGTCAAAGGGGCACCTGAGGTAAAGAGGTCAAAGTGCATTTTACTGTGCATGTCTATAACTCCCTTCTCTAAAGTTCTTAAGATGTTACGTATGAAAATTTTAAAAATTCAAAAAATCATTTTTTTTAGATTTCATTTTTTATTATAATAAACAAAAAAGTTTGAACGTACCCAAGACTTCAACAAAATATCCAGATGATCTAATATGGTGGTACATATCTTTAAAATTTGTGTGGATATGGTCTCCATTCCTAAAGAAACATCAAGTCTTGTTACTGTATCTCTGAAGAACACAAACTTGTATGACAAAATAGGTGACTTATTCATGTTTCAATAGTCTGAACCTTACCAGTCTAATGGATCGTTTTTCATCCTCAGGTTGTCTCGGGGGAAGTAACCAGGTGGATATCGTAGATTGTGGTACTGATCCCACAAAACCCTCTTGCTACAGTAAACAAAGAAAAGATCCATAAAAATTTGCCATTAGGAAAATAATGATTTGCATTTTACAAAAATCTTCAAAATCTGATTTTTTTTGAAATAAAGTTACCTTCGAGGTGGTGTTGAAATGATGTGGACTTTGATGGGTAGCTTCAGAGATGTCTGCCTTGGTGTTTTTTCTTCACCCTGAACCATGGATCAACAAATTACATATGCAAATATCTAATATTTATTCAATGGTTTACACTTTTAGATTTTTTTTACAAGCATACTCACAGCATAAAACAACTAGCTTGAAAGTCAACATATCAGGATTTTCATGAATTTTGGTTATTGCTCTATATAATCTTTAATAAATAAGAAAGCAGCCTTGGATAATTACACGTAAAAGTTTTGGCAAATAAAATGTGATTTACAATATTGAATATTGAATATTCAAAACCCACCTCTGGGGGTGATTCCACAGTCAGAGTGACCTGCCCTTGAGCTATGCCCTCATAGTTTGCTCCTGATTTGGCGACAGAAATGAAGACAGCCAAGTACCCTGACCAAGGCCACAGAGTTTTAGAGTATGAAAATGCCACGTCTATGTAGTTTCCATGATGTGGGATGTAGGGTTCCCAACGAGGCTACAGAATCAAAGCAAGAAATTCTTTTAAAATATTTCTTTTAAATTTCAAAATGTTGAACTTGAGAGAAGTAACAAATGCTGCACACTAATTTACTTTATATCTTAAACATCTAATATCTTAAATCTTACCTTGTCAACTAATTTTCCTGATACTCCCATTCCATTTAAAATTGTTACCTACAAACATAATTACAACATGTACATACAAATTAAAGTATGGCTTTTACCCTGATCCAACCCCAACCCTGAACTCTGAAAAATTACAAGTATGATATTTTATTTTTATAAACACAATGTTTTAATTTTTTAAGAATTACAATTAAATCATTCACAAAAATAGGTTAATACTTAGCTGTTAGACTGATTTGATATGTGACTTACATTGACAACTACAGGCATGGCCCCATAGAAGATAGGCTGGGAACAGTAAGGCCACATGTAGGGGCATTCCGTCAGATCAATATAGCTGGGACTCAAACTACAACACATACAGTATATAAATCTTCATTTTATTCCAAAAAATGCAATTTATAACTCTTGATCTCAAAACTTTGCAAAAAGAAAAATGTTTTCCCTTCATTCACTATATGCATTATATGTTTACATTTCATAATATCTTATCAACAAAGAATGTGTAGCAAACAAAAATATGTTTATCCATGTCAGAAGTAGATGTACTGTACAAAATACATCAATTCTCTTTTTGAGTCCAGTTTAATTAAAATCCACATTTTCTCACTGCTTGAATGCTTATTTCTTTTCACCCTACCTGGCCTGTGGTTTGTAGGTCCTAAGGGTTTGATAAGCTCGGATGAGGTCGAGCTTGCCGTGACCTTGCTCAAACATGTTGACCTCTGGTAACCTCCGGGCGGAGGCCATCAGGGCCTGCTTCATACTGGCCGGGTTAATAATGTGGGCGCGGTCCAACACAGCACTGAAATACATGTGTCTAACATTGTATACACTGAATTAACAGACTAGCTTCATAAAATTCAGGCAAAAATATTTTCTATTAAATTTATGATCCTCCATATCAAATTATAAAGATTTACACTAGTCTAATAAATGCATTGATTTGAATAAAATCCTTAGTATTCGACTTCTATTCACTGATTGTGATGCAAAATTAAAATGCATGTTATTGATGTTTTACAGCAAAATTGTTTAAATAACTTTTTCCTGACCTGTACAGAAGAGTAACTGCCCCGGCTACTACAGGGGAGGCAACACTGGTTCCTGACAGAGACCTACATCCACCCCTAAAAACAACCAAAATAATCAACATAAAAAAACTAACGGATATGTGAATTTCAATGCATATATCATATAAATTTTATATAAATAGATATAAATCATTTCCTTATTTTAATTACTACTACTCACTTACAAAATAATTTAAAACCCTTACTTGAGGGCTGAGCCCCGAACAGCTGATCCATAAGTGACAATGTCTGGCTTTAGTCTTCCATAACCATGAGGAAGTTCCTGTAAAGAGGATCCAATGAATTTCTAATTTTACAAGTTTAATTTTCAAAAAATATGAAATTAAACATTTCATTTTAGATTTCTATAGGGATGCAAACAATTTGTATTAAAAACATTTCCTACTTATAGTAAAAGTTCATTATGTGCATGCATCTTAAATCCAGTCTAATCTAGACAGACAAATAAATTCATCAACATGAAGATTGGAGAGACAAATGAGCAGATTTACCCATGTGGTCATCCCTCTGGAGGAGAACCTAGCTATCTGGTTGTCAAAGTTGATCCCTCCCACTCCAATAACATCCATCTGGTCAGCTGGGTTGTTCAGTGTGCTGCAAAAGATCACCCCAAAAATATAATACATTGCATTATTACAGTTCATGTTACTGTCTAGTGCTTCTACTCGTAAATTTTAACATATTTTAAAATCCAAAACAACTGATAGTTTAGTATATGGTTTTAAAACTTACCCATACAGAGGTCCATCATTTCCAATGGCAGAGATCATGATCACTTTGTTGGCTGTCAGTTCCCAAACCTGAAATCAGAATGTCATGATTTGAATACTGTACCATGTAAGGTATGCACATTTCATATGATTATACCCCCCCCCCTCAAATGTCAAATTCTTTGGACTAATTAACCAAGGCATAAAAAGCATTTGAGAAACAGGGGGGGGGGGTTAACTACATGCAAATCTAAGCTCTTGAGCTTCCCTCAGAGGTCCCCAGCTTGAAATTCTGATTTAACTTCAGGGGACCTCAAACTTTCCACAATACAAAAGCAGTCATAAAATCTTGTTCAGATTTGAATCTTCTTATCTACAGGTATATGCACCACTGTTTACCTGTACTTACCTTGTCAACAAAGGGGTGATCCATGAAATCCGGTCCTCCAATGCTGAGATTTAGTACATTGATTTTCTTCAGGATAGCATAATTAAAGGCATCCAAGAACCATGATGTGTATGATACCTGTACATAAAACACTGGTATAATTTCCCTAATTCACTGTATTGAAATGCAAGCATGTATTGTCCTGTCTTAGTCTGTACTTGAAACATATATATTAAGTAAAACCTAATTGTTTGTGAACACTCCGAACACAAAAAACATACAAACCTATTAAACAAAGTCATACATACACAATCAGGATTGTTTGTGAGCAGTAGTCTGAACAAAACAAATAAACAAACCAAACAAACCTGATTGTTTGTGAACACTCTGTAGACATGAATGTCAGCATCAGGAGCGAACCCCAGGCAGTCCTTAAAACTGGCAATGACTCCAGCCACAAAGGTACCGTGACCCAGACCTACAAAGACAAGCAGCCATTCAGTCAAACCAACCAATTGTTACCATATACCATTCATATAAAAGAGAATTAATTTTCTAACAGATAAATTTCTGCGATGTATATTATGGGATTACCATCGTCCAGTGTCTTTTCATTGGTCCAGTTGGTCCTATCCTTGATCCTGCCCTTTTTGAAGTGTGGATGGTCCTCTGACAGACCAGTGTCAAATATGGCTACTTTCACACCAGTCCCTGTAAAGAGTACATGTATGCTGTATGTTGCATATATTGTACATGTATGGACTGTTAAACATAATCTTTTACATGTAGAACTTTGCACTGATTGTTGTACATAACCCTCCACATGACACGTAGAACTAAGTAAGAAAGCATACAAATATCTTTTATTCTATGACATAATGCCTGTAGAACAAATTAAATAAGCTAAGTGAAATACAAATCATCCTTATCATGGTGAAAGCTTACTAACATACTAATTAAAGCAGTGTGTTATTTTACATGAAATATGAATCAGTAGTACTCTGTAGGAAAATCAATATAAATTAATTTGTACCTGTAAATCCCATATTCCACAGAATTTCTGCCTGTAAAGCACTCACAATCTGAAAAAATAACAATCTGATTAAAATCAGATTCTTTGATCCGCTCCCATAGATTGCTACACAAGCGATCTATGGGAGCGTATCAAAGGATCTGATTTTAATCAGATTGAAAAAATAATAACATGTGTAGTGACATTTACATTGACTTTTCTGAAATAAAATTTGTGAGTTAAATTGAATGAATTCACTCCAAAGTGGTGTAATTTTTCACCTGTTTAGGTACAGCCCTTAGAAGTCGCCTTCCTTTAAATCTTGCAGGAGAATGCCAATATGTTGCACCCTAATTAAAATAAAATAATAAATACCTCCTAATTATCATTAAATTGCTTGAAAAGTTTTTCATGGTTGTAAATAAAGACGTATAATCTAATTTTGAGAGTTTTTTGAGACATAATGCATATGTTTTTTCTATCATAGATTAGATATACGTTAACAGTAACTGATACATATTCTTTAAGTATTATGACTCTACATTTACAAAACTGTTGTTCAAGTCTGTTAAAAAAGTTCACAAACTAGAAGTATTAGATCTAACTGACCAGGGAGAGACTTTTGCGGTTGTGTGACCTTGAGGAGTGGAAGGTCTGAGGACACATATTGGAGGTCGTTTCATTACATTCCTTGTCTAGGACTTCCTGCTGTTCCACATCTACAAATCAAATCAAAGTAACACATCGTTATTAGGAAAACCTTTGATTAGTATCTACAATACTTGTCAATAACAATTGTGTATTTTCCCCTCATTGTTACATAATAATACTTACTGCTCATTCCAAACTTTTTTCTTATATCAGTTTTTGTTGACGCACTATCTATGTTTAAATAGTCATACAAGCAAAACAATAAGGTGGTGCTTGACTTAATATCAAACTTAGAGGAAAATCAAAGTACTGAAAGTACTGGAAAGCGCTAAGCATGGGCTGAATTTGAAATTCATCAGAATTTAAATTCCTTATTTCATTGGAATAAGTACATGTAATATTTTGACGGGGAAGCTGGGGGGGGGGGGGGGGGGGGGGGGGGGGGGGAACTCAGTTGTTTAATTGAAATAATCCCAGCTCTTGATTGCCTTGACTGTTACATTAAATAACATTGAATGTAAGTTGTATTACTATAACAAAGTCTTTAAATATGCAAAAAAAAAAACAAAAAAAAAATAATAATAATAACAAAGATAATCTAATTTACTATCTCTGTGCATTTTTTTAAAGCAAGTGAGTTACTTTTATAACCCTCTTTGTTTTCCGCACCATAGTTACAAGTCCGGAGAACAAGATTACTTGTGTTGCATTGTGGGTCCAGGTTTCTGCGATAAAATCAAATTTATATCAATTTTAAAGTCTGATTTTTTTTTTTGACTCATCTCATTTCAGATTATGTATATAGCTCTACATTAGCTGGAAAGCTTCTTTTTGGGGGGGGGGGGACAAATTTTAAATGCTTAAGATGTTGCTGATATCCTTATCATGAACGTAAAGTGGAGAACATAAAACCTTCTAGTGAAATTTTGAACAATAAATCATTCTGCTCTCAAATTCAAAATTGACAGTCGGCGACCGTGCCTTTCTTTGTTATTATCAGCCGCATAGGTGACCGACCTATTGGCAGTTGTGTTTGAAACTGCACAGGGAGAAATGAGATATTATTTGTATATTATTAGGTATTATTAGGATTATGAATAAAAGTTTTAAAAATGGTTTAATATTTTGTTTGAACTGTTTTTAGTTATTTTAATTTTTTTCCTCTTCATAGATATTTATAATCTTATATTTTAATGGTTTTACAAAAAAAAAAAATTCTAGCATGGGAACAAGTACATGTAATATATACATGCAATCAATAAAAGTTACTGGGTATACTTGAATAAAAATTAAACTTTGTATGGAATATTGTACAGTTGAATAACAAAACAATATTTTTTTTCAATATTTCACATTATTTGTGATACCAATCCCTCATCGTGCAGCATGTTGCTATCAACATGTAACAAAAAAAATCCCCGAAGACTTTACTTCTTTTTTCATTACATTGCTGTAATATCAATTTTGGGATTTAATTTAAGGATATCGCATTTGTCTTTTTGTCATTTTGATGAAAAACCATTCTTATCATTCATCTCTGACTCTCACGCACATGAATTAAAATTTATTTGCACCGAAAATTAAAAACGTTTGACCATTCTTTTTCTCAAGTAATATTTGAAGCTGATTTGTAAATTTTTGTTTTTAAAATAAAAATGTTAATTTAAATACGCATCTACTTAGAAATAAAAATATATATCATATTTTCCTTTGACTCATTTCGGCGGAAATACTTTAAAATGCTTCTTATTTTCCACTATCATCATGATCATGTAAAACATGCTGACAAGAATGAAATAGCCACAACAACCAAGCGTTCAGTCTAAAGGAATTTTTTGCATCAAAATATTTTGTTACAAATAAAGACTACAAATTAATTAAGTATAGACAATCTATATAAATGCGTTTAAGTTTAAAATTTGTGCTACTAATGGATAATGAGATGCTGTGAAATCATTATCATTGATAGCAATGAGATGCTGTGAAATCATTATCATTGATAGCCCTCTGCATGATGCAAGTGTGATAATAAAAAGACTCGTTTGTATTTACATTGTTTGAAATAAAGGCCCAGAAGATGGCGTGAAAAATTAGGAAATGAATATACAAAATGAAGATTCAAACGATATATAGAACCTAGTTAAATACTTTTTAAAATGGAATTGTACATGTATTACTAATAGATTCCAATTTGAGTTTTAAATTCTTATTGAAATTTTAGTGAGACTTTTAAATACTCGTGCGCATTAAGTCTTTTTAAGGTACTTGTTTTAACTTTTTCGAATTACACTGCAGAAATAAGATTTGTGACATAATTGTTGTTTGCCAGTACTTATTAATATGCACCATATTGTTTAGAGATAAGACTTGCCATTATATATCCACAAACACAGGATTTCCGTACACACGAAAGTTAATATCGACTCTACTAATTAACACCTATTATGATAACCTTCAATCAAGTAGCCGACAGAGGGTCGGGGATTTCCAGTTGTATATTTTTAGACGACTTGGTAGTGTTACATAACTTCCTCAGTGAATTTCGTAAGCTTAACGCTGTATCACTCCACGAAATTGAGTTCGTTATTTTAAAATCGAACATAATATACAACATTTATTTTAAACAAGAATAGACATGGGTTACCCCATATTTAAAGATATTTGACTTTTAGATTTTACATGTTTAACAGTGTTTAATGATTTAAAGAAAAAACTGCAATGTCTGGTTATGGAACTGGTGTAAATTTTGTGAGTCCGTAGCATTACGGTCACCCAGTCTCCTACAAACAGAACTCATACATGTGTCCACAAGATCAGTTTGCCTTGGTCTATACACACGTGCGATGGAGAACTTTGTCAAACGCATCAAGCGAGCTCGGAGAAACACGTTTTGTTTTGCCGAGAAGTTACTATGGCAGACAAAACTTTTTTCTTAATTAGATCATATGAATACTAATTCTGATTAATAAAAATTAAACAATCCCGGTTTTCAGTTTAGAAATCTCCAACATTATTACCAGGGGTATCTTTTTTTGTAAGAGTAAATTGTATGATAATTTACGGACAATAAACTTGAACTTAATACAATTGTTGATATAATATTATATCAATTCATCGGTGAAAAGAATTATCAATCGAAGAATGACCTAGATATTTTCTGTTAACATACATGTTAAAAAAAACATAGGCTGGGTAGCGAGCGTTGATAAAAGATAAACACGATCGACAGGGGGCGCTGATAAAAAGACCATGGAAATTTTCGATGCCTACCTAAGAAGCGCTTTGCGCATGCGCTTAGCGCTTAAAAATGCAATCCCAATCTGTACTTATAATGATAACTTTAATACTAAGGATGAATTTATTCTAGCAAGAATACACTAAAATAAAAAAAAAATCACTCTAACAAGAATAGACATACATTTATGAAGTAGGTAACGACTCTCCTATTTATACATGTTTACTGGTACAGAAGTACTAAATTACCTTTGACAAACTTGAGTGACCTAGATAACTTCTTATGAGGGGTTATTCTTTTGATGATGGGGTGACTCTCTAATGCTTCAATGCCCTCAAGTCTGCCATCATTCAGCTGTTCAAACAAAAAATTATACATGTACATGTATCATCTTACAACCACACAAAGGCATTTTCATGTATATTTCACCCTTACACATGTACCATTATGTCAATGTTTCTTTTCTTTAAAAATTTCTTTTTTTTCAAATACTCATTTACATCTACATATTCTCTTGATAAAAGTGTGTTCATGGGTAAAAGATTTAAATAATGTATACCTTTACAACATCAAAGTCACTTGGATAGTCAAAGGCCAGATTTTCTCTGGGAATAATCTTCCAAGACAAGACTCCTGAGTCATGCAGAGCCGAGGTGAGGAATCGCTTCCGGGCTTGGGGTTTGTAATATCCATTAAATGAGACAATATATTCTGAAAAATCATTCATCAAATCAAATGTCAAATGTATATTTGATATTCTGATATTTTAGAGTATTTTTCTAGATTTCTTATAAAATGTACTACATGTGTAATTCATTGTCGGAATCCCACTGCCAATCTCACATACACTTATCAATAAGCCATATTGGCCATGGGTTTCCAACAATGGTACGGATTTAAATTTTCAGAAAATGTTTATAACACAGGTCTGAAATGTAATATCAATGCAACAGAATTAAGACATAACTTTATTGCATCTATACTTCAAAAGTAAATTTTTTATAACATCATGAACATGTACTGCTGGTATAAAACAAATACTTACCATGATCGATGATTGTACTAGAGTAATCCACCTGGACTTTCTGTACTTGAGACTTATTACAACCAGTGTCTACATACACCAAGGTACTCTCTCCTGATGCCTCACATAAGTATAATATCAGTAATGTCAGCAGCATCACTGTGTGTCTATAGAAACGTCCATTTAACCACGGAAACATGGCTTAAATATAAAAAATTTCACATTCTGCATTCATGGCCATTTCACTTTTGATTCTGTCATCCTGTTATTTTATTTTCTAATTCAGGAGTAAGAATTTTACAATTCTCCAAATCTGGAAAACAAAAATATGTTTATAACAATATAGTGTTGGTATATGCTTTGTTCGACTAATATATGTTCAAAATTTACTTAACCAGGTCTCTACATAAAAATATACTTTGTATAAGAGTCTTTCAATTTGCCATTAGATTTCTACACTACTTGTCTGACATTCCATTTTGACTTTACTTTGAGGTCTCATTAACATGATTATTAAGTTAATATAATGTTGACAGAATTGAGGGTTAACAAAACCTTTTTTCGGGTAGGAAACAGCAAAGAAATGTGTCACTGTGAGTAAGATTTATTGCATTGTAAAAATAGGACTGGGGATATGTTTAAGTATGACACTGAACACAAACTGATGGCAGAGAATTCATAGCATCACAGAATTTTAACATGCAGAAATAAACCTTTTTACTATAGGAATCAATTTATGTTTGCATCTTTAAAGTGATTCATTATCAGCTCTTAAATTATCAAGTATTACTGAATTGATCAAAATTCTGAACTGGTTAAATATCACATTGTTAGAAATGTTAATGTTAGAGTTGAAAAAAATCTATTATTTTGTGGCAGTTACTGACTGAGTCAGCCGGGTTCGATCGCCAGTGGTCAGATAGCTTGATCTGACAGTAGAGCACCTGACCAGAGATTCCGGGGGCCCATATTCAAATATTGGTTTGGTCTGCTGCATTTTTCTCCTCTTTCGGTACCATGGTGCCATGCCATGCCCTGGAACTGACAGGTGAGAGGCCTCACAGGGATGAGCCTGGGTTGGGGTCTTTGAGGTCAAAGACCTTTAAGGAGGGAGGAAAATGGCGGTCAGCCAGGTTTCGATCACCAGTGGCCAGATAGCTCAGTTGATAGAGCACCTGACCAGAGATTCAGGGAGCCCAGGTTCGAATCCTGGTCTGATCTGATACAAATTTGGTCGTGTACATGCATGGAGTAGATACCTAAACTATCTTCTACTTAATTTTTTTAAAGCGCAATGGCACAAAGAACTTTCAGATAGCTTTTTGAATCAATTTTGCATTCTTTTTAAAACATTTCAAAATATCATAAACAAGCTATGTAGCTTTATTAGGAGCTAGGCCTACTCTGTACTCAAGGATCTAGGGAGGGATGGATATCAACACAACAAAATGGAGTATTTATTTGTAAAGTAACAGCCGAAAGAGCATATTTAAACAAAATGGATAGAAAATTGGGAATAATTAATCAATAATTTGATATCTTAAACTTACAGTATCCAACATAATAGATGATTTCTTTTATCTCGGAAGAGATTGCACCTTTCACACTTCACATTGTGGATAATATCTATCAAACGCCTTTGTTACGAGAACGTTGATTGGTCCATTTTTGGGATTCCATAAAATTATGAATTCGGAACTTCTCTAAGTTATGCGACGAAGTAGCACAGTCGAATCTAGAGGAGTGTCAAATGTATTTTGATTCAATATGGCGGAAGAAAGTTGTTCCAGATGAAACAAACAGAAAAGAGTTGAATTTTTTACATCTGAGTAACAGGTAAGAATTAAAATGATTTTTATCGAGTTGCGGGATAAGAATATTTTTCAGAGAAATGAGATCCACAAGGATTACTTTCTACATGCCATATTTTTGGATAGAAATTCCCACCCCATTTTCTGAAAACGTCAACTTTGACATTTCACTATTTTTGTAAAGTTTTCTGCAATATTTTGTGCATCATATTTGTTGTAACCCTGCGAATTGCCTTGTAATTAAATATTCATATTTTTAAATTTAATATTTTAATTTATCTTTATTCTAGGATGGTGACGCTGATGGTAAAGGCAGGTGAAGAACTGATAGGATGTATCCCCAAATATGAGTAAAAGTAGACATGATGCTCGGAAAGAAAACAACATGCCAACAACTAATAAGAAATCTTTGGAATACCCCTGCCAGAATGGAGCTCAAAGTCCAGTGAGTCAGCACTCGAGTGAAAGTGAAAAATCATCTCCCGATTCATCAGAAAACCAAAGAGAGAAAAATAATGGCCCAGGTATTTACAGAGATGGTCGAATTAATTTAGTCAATGGTCGTAGTCCCAATTTAAATGGACCTGTAAATGGATATTTGCATGAAGACAGGGAAAACTTGAGATCATCTAGTACTATTAATAGCTGTCCAGGTGGGGTCAGTGCTCAAGCTCGTCCTGAAGTTGTCGTAAACTGTACTCACTGTAGTGAATTTGTCAAACCACCGCTAGTAAATGGTTTACAGAACAGGAAAAATTCACCTAAAGCAAACAGACCCAAGTCTATGTCATGGAGTCGTGTTGTCAAACAGAGACGAGATCGAAGAGAGCAAGAGAAGAAAGTGGGCTCAAATTCAAAGAGAGAAAAATACATTTACCCAGAACTTGGTTCAAGTTCAGATGACTCATGTGATTGCTTTAGCTCTCCAGAGAAATTAGAATTCCATAGAAATGAGGTTGGATCTTCATCAGAATCTGACGGTGATGACAAGGAATACTCATCTAGAAGAAGGAGCTTTCATTCTAAGCCAAATGTACCCTGCACAACTAATGAACAAGTTTCTTTCACAAATGGACATCATGAACAAGTTCAAAATATCAATTTGCCTCCTAGGTTTGAAGACATGCCAATATCTGCTCCTTTAGCAGTGCCAGAAGACAGTGATGGATCTTCCCAAAATTCTGGTTGTGATTCAAATGATAGAGAAACTGAGACAGTGTCAAAAGAAAATCAGGCAACTGCTAATGAGAGTCAAAATGAAAACAAAACCAGTGATGATGAACAAGGTATAATTGGAGAAAACATGCTTGAAGTTGAGGAACAAGTTGAAGAAGTTTTTACACACTTATCTAGTTCAGAAAGTCTTGAAGAAATTGCAGATGAAGACAATTCCTCAGAAATCCAGGAAAACAGTGGTGGTGTTTTAGTAGCGGAGGCAACCGCACAATCTAGTTCTGAAAGTTTAGATGAAATTGGAGACTACATAGAAACAGATTTTCCATCTCGGGCTAGTCGTCATATGTTTGCATCCAGTTCAGAACATTCTTCTACATCCAGTGAAGAAGATGAGGGGTATGGTGTGAATGAAGAAAAGGGTTCTCGTGATGCAGAAGCTGGGAGGACTCCCTCAAGTCCATCTCATCATAACCAAGAGAATGGAGTACCACAAGAAAATGACCCCCATAGTCCACTATCTTGCCAGAACCTTCAGGAGTTCAATAAACAAAGTGTCTCTGCTGCCTCCCCTGCTTCTGTGTGTGATGATCTAGAAACTCCTCACTTGGACTCCTTTGCTGATGTGACTGCAAATTTAAGATACATGGAAAACCAATCTTATAGCAATGCACATGTCTGTAGACCCAAGTATATTGCTAAAAATAATGGAGATAGCATGGACAAGCCAGGGTCAGACTTTTCTTTTATGTACTCGCCGGAAACAGATTTTTTAGATTCTGTGGAATCAGATGTGCCAACGTCTGCAACCAGTTTGCAACCAGTGTTCCGTTTCGGTCAAGATCTAGATAGTCCTAGTATTTTACACCAAAGAAACAGTGAGAGGAATTCCTCGGAGTTCTGTATGTATGATCCGTTGGATTATGCTTCCAATGACTTACGCGGTGCTGAGGGAGGGGTGACAAACGATCTGAGCATGAGAAGACATTCATTTGAGTTCGATGACGTAGAGTGCAATATGGAGTCTTATGATCCACACCTGTGTGTAGATGATAATGAACATTTTAACTATCTAGATACCTATAAACATGAAAAAGTGCTGCAAGCCAACTTTCAGAACTCTGAAAGCAATAGGCAAGAGAAGGTGTTTTTTAAAGCATTAGAAAAAGAGAACAGGTCTACGGCTCACTGTGATTCGTCGGACGAGGAGGAAAACTTAAGTTTCCGTCTCCGAAGGGAACATCTTGGTAATGCACAGTTAGGACATTATCCTCTGGAGAATGGACATTGTATGGTGCTGGAAGATTTGGAGAATCCGACGCATGCCGTTAGAAATGCAGTCATTATGCCTTTACCCAATAAACTGGATGAATCGTCAGGGTAAGACAATAACTACTCAGATGCATTCATAAGGCATATATATATTCAGGATAATAACATTGTACTTACATCATTTTATTTTTTATCAACTACACAAGTACCTATGCAGTATGTATTGATGTCCTTTCGTTTGATCTTGTTAATTATGAGCATATTTAAATATCCACTGTATTTATAGGGAGAGCTCAGAAGATCCTATTTATGAAGATATAGACAGTCTGGAAGCGTCTTTGTCATGCCTAGATAACCTACATGCAGTACAAGAAGAAAATTCCTGTGATAATAATACTAAGGTGAAAAATCTAACTTGATAAATTTTTTTTAACAAAGAAAGCTTTTATATTTATCTAATTTGCCACTGATCATGGTGATGATAAACAAGATGGTGTCTGACAATTATTTAAGGAATGACTTTAATAGCTATAATCAAGTTGTATGCTGTATAACCTGGATTTGGGCAGTTTACATTTTAAAAATGTAAACTGCTCCAACCCAGGATATGTCAGTATAACTTGGGTAGCTATTAAATTCATCTCTTAAAATTTAATTTTTGATCATGAAGTATAGAAAATGATACAATTTCTCCTGCAAAAATACCTTAAAAATTGTTCATATTTGAAGTGTAACATCAAGGGGATTGATATGATTTTGACATAAGTCCTGATGTTGGCAACAAAGGTATATGATACAATATGATTTTTAGCTCACCTGAGCCGAAGGCTCAAGTGAGCTTTTCTGATCAAAATTTGTCCGTTGTCTGTCGTCGTTGTCGTCGTCGTCGTTGTCGTTGTTGTCGTCGTAAACTTTTCACATTTTCATCTTCTTCTCAAGAACCACTGGGCCAATTTCAACCAAACTTGGCACAAAGTATCCTTGGGTAAAAGGGATTTAAGTTTGTTCAATGAAGGGCCACACTTTCCAAGAGGAGATAATTGCGAATTTGTGAAAAATTAATGGCATCTTTTAAAAATCTTCTTCTCCAGAACCACTGGGCCAGGAAAGATGAAACTCATGTGGAATCATCCTCAGGTAGTGTAGATTCAAGTTTGTTCAAATCATGACACCCGGGGCAAGGGTGGGGCCAAAATGGCCGACCTAAGTTTTACATAGGAATATATAGGAAAAATCTTTTAAAATCTTCTTCTCCAGAACCACTGGGCCAGGAAAGATGAAACTCATGTGGAATCATCCTGTGTGTTTGTTCAAATCATGACCCTCGGGGCAAGGGTGGGGCCAAAATGGCCGACCCTAGTTTTACATAGGAATATATAGGAACAATCTTTAAAAATCTTCTTCTCCAGAACCACTGGGCCAGGAAAGATGAAACTCATGTGGAATCATCCTCAGGTAGTGTAGATTCAAGTTTGTTCAAATCATGACCCCCGGGGCAAGGATGGGGCCAAAATGGCCGAAAGGAATATATAAGAAAAATCTTTAAAAATCTTCTTCTCCAGAACCACTAGGACAGGAAAGGTGAAACTCATGTGGAATCATCCTCAGGTAGTGTAGATTCAAGTTTGTTCAAATCATGACCCCTGGGGCAAGGTTGGGGCCAAAATGGCCGACCCAAGTTTTTCATAGGAATATATAGGAAAAATCTTTAAAAATCTTCTTCTCCAGAACCACTGGGCCAGGGAAGATTCATATGGAATCATCCTCAGGTAGTGTAGAAAGTTTGTTCATGATGGGGCCAAAATGGCCGACCCAAGTTTTACATAGGAATATATAGGAAATATCTTTAAAAATCTTCTTCTCAATTACCACTGGGCCAGGAAAGATGAAACTCATGTAGAATCATCTTCAGGTAGTGTAGATTCAAGTTTGTTCAAATCATGACCCTCGGGCCTGGGGAAAGGGTGGGGCCAAAATGGCCGACCCAAGTATTACATAGGGATATATAGGGAAACATTTTAAAATCTTCTTTTCAAGTACTTCAAAGCTATGATTAGTGATACTAATATGGAATCATCCTCAGGTAGTGTAGATTCTAGTTTGTTCAAATGATGAACTCCTGGAAGGGGGGGGGGTAAATTCAAGCCCAATGTGCTCAGGTGAGCGCTGTGGCCCCTGGGCCTCTTGTTTTTTATCCGATCAAATGGCACAGAACCAAGATTAAATAATAATGAAATAAAGAACAATCTACATGTAAATAAAATCAGACTTCTTAGATCCGCGCCATATACACTCTGTGTGTATACGACGTGGATCTAAGAGGTCTGATTTTAATTAGATTGAAATAAAGAATAAGTTGATGCTTTGTAGGTGATGTGCAAGTTTGACAGGCGTCGTAGACGTGGACGTCGGCCAGTTGACGTGGAGAAGGTGATGATCTGGCACGAGTACGAGGCCTACCTACTACAGGTCAAACAGATCGGGACGTCAGCGTGTGGACCTACAGCAGTGTTAACAGTCCTGGTGAGTAGATATTTTATACCATGTATTTTGGGACACACACCACTACTTACTTACTACTATGTACCACACTGGAAAGGGAATATACATCCTGGGTTTTTTTTAACTTCAGAATGATGTATTGCAGTGTTAGGGAGATCAAATTAAAATGAACAAAATTTATTGATGTAGAAATTTGTATGTATTGCTTGTCTCAGAAAAAAAGCTCCATATTTCTTCTGTTTTGAAACATCAATTTGAAAATTGTTTTTGGTACATCAGGTTGTTAAATAGATATTGGTGCATACTGTGTTTTAGGGAAATTTTCAAAAAAGTCATACATTTTTCATAAAAATATGTTAAAATATATAGAATGAAACTTTTTCCAAAAAGAAGTAAAAAATAAAATTTTAAAACTACTTAATTAACTAATCATTATCATGAAGATAAAAGTTGACATCGACCTTTTATTTACAGAAAGCCTTCGATTATCAAGTTGATAAGGAAGAAGTGAGTAAAAAGATTGTCACCAACACCAGAATGGAGACTGCTCCCATCAGCTACTATTTGTTTTCTAGATCAGTGGCAGGTAAAATCATTTATAAGTGTCTGTTTGAAAAAAAAATGCTGCTAAGAAAAGTATTTATTTGACAATGACAAGATATAAGTTCACAACAGACTGATATTTTAATAGAATCAGTTGACTTGAAAGAAAATGTACGGTACATGTACTTCTTCATCTTATTTAATTCATAACCAATCCTTAAGTCCTAAGCAATCTTTAAAAAAAAACCTTAAAAAAAGAGTAATGGAACAGAAAACAGGACAAAGGAGAAAAGTCATTTTGCTTCAGTAGAGATGCAAGTATTTAAAAAAAAGAAGAAGAATTTGATTAACAATGTATTTTACTTTTAATTGTAATATTTTTAGGTACAACTGCACTACAGTTGATAGACGGTGTTCAAAGTCTGACAAGGGGTACCATACAGGGTAGATTTTTCCATTTCTTTCCAGCCAGGAAAGTGGAACTCCTCAAGTGGCTGGGAGGTTGGATAAAGAAAGGTAATGTGAAATTTCTATTATCTCCATCATGTCATTCTATCAAGCATTTTATTAATAATTTACAGGTATATGTACTTATACATACATGTATTAACTGAAAAAAAAAAAGCAACAGCAAAACATGATCTTATTTCACATTGTACATGGATGAAGCTCTAATTGTCTATGCTTTAATTTTGTTAGGTGCCGTTCCCATAGCAACACTGAATTTACAGAGGGGGGTGAAGCCTGGTTGGACCATTCCTGATGCCTGGCATCATCAGATGATTTATGGTGTCAGCTCCAAAGGTACAAGGGGTTTAGAATAAAAAGTAGTCTCTTACCCATTTCTCAGCAAACCAGTCATAAAGAAGTTTACACATGATTATATCAGATTTTACATTCAAACCTTCTTTAGGTGCATTTTTACAAGTCCTTCTTTTTTACTATTTTTAGAAAATGACAAATGTTTCTTTTCTATGAAATTTGATTTCAGAGCATTTAATTGTTCTCTTTTCCAGGTGTGTATTTGACAAATCCATTAGAAATAGTTTCTGAAGAGACCATTATGGAACAGCTAACGAGTGACTCCATTCTCCTGATTCGACGACAAGATGTGGTCAATCGATTCCGTGACTGGTCACCCCTGAATGATCTTATCACCAAGAATGACAAGAGATGGAATGAGATGAATGTTTTAGGTATGCTTACTGCTCAGAATTTTCATGCTTTCTTTGCTTGTTCATGCAGAATAATGGTTGCAACATTGCAGAAAAATAACATAACCTGTGGAAACAAGTTTTGTTAGGTGCCGTTCCCATAGCAACACTGAATTTACAAAAGTTGGTTGTCTGTCATCGTTGTAGTCGTTGTTGTTGTTGTCGTCGTAAACTTTTCACATTTTAGATGCCTGGCATCATCAAACTTGGCACAAAGTATTATGGGGTCAGCTTTCTTCAAAGGTACAAGGGGTTTATGAATTAAAAAAATTAATGGCATTTTTAAAAAATCTTCTTAAGAACCACTGGGCCAGGACAGATGAAGTCCTGTGACATATTGATTAGTGTAGATTCAAGTTTTCACGAATTTTGGTTATTGCTTTATATAATCTTACATAGGAATATATAGGAAAAATCTTTAAATTTTTCTCCAGCACACTGGGCCAGGAAAGCTGAAACTCATGTAAAAAGTGATTTACAGTAGTCTCTTACCCATTTCTCAGCAAACCAGTCATAAAGAAGTTTACACATGATTATATCAGATTTTACATTCAAACCTTCTTTAGGTGCATTTTTACAAGTGGCCGACCAAAGTTTTACATAGGAATATATAGAAAATCTTTAAATATTTCTTTTCTGGGCCAGGAAAGCTGAAATTTGATTTCAGAGCATTTAAATTCAAATTTTTTTCCCCCCAGGTGTGTATTTGACAAAATATATAGAAAAATATTTAAAAATCTTCTTCTCCAGAGACCATTATGGCCAAAAGCTAACGATGTGGAATCATCCTCAGGTAGTGTAGATTCAAGTTTGTTCAATCATGACCCCCGGGGCTAGGTCACCCCTGAATGATCTTATCACCAAGAATTACATAGGGATATATAGGAAACCTTTAAAAATGTTTTAGGTACTGCTATGATTAGTGATATTTATCATGCTCAGGTTCTTTCTAGTTTGTTCAAATGATGAATGCCTGGGGGGGTTGCAACATTGCAGAAAAATAACATAACCTGTGGCCCCTGGGCCTCTTGTTTTGTTTTTTTTTAAATTCTGGAACAATGAAATTTTATTTATATTTGTATAAATTATTTTTAAAAGAAGATAGGTAAAATGATGAAAGAGTTCAATTCTATATAGCTTATTCTTGATCTTTTGATAAAAAGCAGTAGGTTTTCATAGAAAAAATGTAGAAAGTATTGTCAACACAACATTATAACATGGTCATTTATAGAGTACTCTCTCTACTGTAGGTCAGGTGGTAAATGTGTTGCGCGAAGCCTGTACCGCCATGTACCAGCAGCCCACACACTACCGGGCCCAGCTTACCTCGCACATCGCTATCCCAGCAGCCTACAGGGCGGGCATCACGCTGTTTGTACGACAAAATACCGAGGTGGCTCAAGAGCTCTTCAGTGCACCAGAACTAGAATACAAGGACTAGGCATGCTCCCTCACCTTTGACCCCGCTCGTGTCATCACCTTGCTAACTTGGTGCTTCTCAGCATTATTTTCAGGTGGCTTCAGTCTTTCCATACTTTTTTTTTTCTTAAAATTGATGCATAAAAGTGCTTTTTTCTGAAATGTTTTATTTTGAACACTTTTACGACAAAAGCAAGTTAACTTCCTTAGACTTGCACTGGTGTGTAGACTAAAATTGTGGGGTAATTTGATGATATGTATGTACCGGTAAATGAAGTTACCATCAGCAAAGATTAATCTTGTCAATTTTATTGCCTTTGTGTTTTCGCTCTAATGGAAAACCACAGACTGAGCAATGACATTGAATACACACTTATGTCTTACATTGTTTTCCATGTTTTTATTTTTGTTTTGAATTTACAATAACTGTTAAGTTAATTTTATTGCCATGTATTTCATTATGGAAGTATGTTTTAACAATTTTACTTGTGATTGAATTCCATATACATGTATTTGACAATTGTACATGATCTTCTTGTTCTTTTAAAATTGCTTGTTGAATTAAATCCTATAGAAGTAATGTGAATTACAATGTAGGTATCACTGAACATTTCACTGAAGTGACATAAAATTTCCACTGACAGTAGATGGAATAATAAATACATTTGTAATGATCTGTTTATAGGGATTATATATCTGTAGTTGATATATTTATTTTGTACTTCTTAAGTTCTGATACATGTATATCAATTTCATGAGTTAAAAAAAACTTCTCTACTTCATAAAAAATGGTATTTTACAAAATTTAGTAGGGCACTCAAAAAACCCCAACAAATTTTAATATGCATGTAATTACTAACAGTCTTGTAAAGTATTGAAATATTCCATTTCATGCAATTTGCTGTTAGATAATGTATACATGTAGTAATTTTTGGTTGAAAGGTCTGCTATGCTAACATACTCATCAAAATTTCACTGTACATTTTAACCTGTTGATGATTGGAAAAAAGTATTTGAGGAGTAAGATGTCATATATTTAGTACTATTTTATTTTGACTGAGCAACCAGTTATACAAATTAAAGTACTACCTAGTGCAACTCGTTTAAGTACAGAAAATTGTGGATTTTTTAAAATTTTCCGTATAAAAGAGTCTGTTATTTTTTATTCTATGTAATCTTGTTAAAGAAATATGTAGTTTTCTACTTATTAGGTTGTTTGTGGTATATTTTTTTTTCCCTCTTCCATCCATATTTTTAGAGGTTTCAGACGTAAGTAAGATGGGTGCATAATAAGATTATGTATTTGTATTCCTTATTCTTAACTTGTATTTATGATCAATCATGTACCTGCCAATGCAAAAAATAAATCATGCTAGACTTGATCTGTGATATTATTGTTTCCTAGAACCCCAATAATGACTTAAGAATGGGCTGAAAATGTAATATTTTTAAATTAAGAAAACACGTGTTCATGTAGAGTGCACTTGTATATTGGGTAAATACAGAATTTACAGTTACATGTACTGTATACAGGGTTATTTTCGCCCCGTTTTATTTTCGTCCTTTTACACTTGCGGACAATTTTGCCCTGTTTTAAATTCGCTCTGTCAGAGTTTTGTTTAAGTACCTATACTGTATTATATGTATTTTTTAAATTCGAAATGAGGCTTGTGACCATTGCTTGTGACCATTGCACATACTTCAAATAGTACTTAATGCATTATTGCAAGTTGTGAGGATTTTAATTATTTGACTGACATATCAATTGATTCATTCAACAACTGAATGAAAACTTTGAGATATCTTAGAGTAAGAAAATGAAAATGAAAAAGGTCAGATTCTAATGCATAATTACAGTCATAAAAATAATGGTGTCTGAGATGTCAAAATTTTAACAATTTCACTGATTGACTGCACTTAAGCTTGATTTCAAATGTTGTGTGTATATTTCTTTGGCTCTGAGAATAGCACTGTGTTCTTTGTCTGGAATTAATTTCAGATAAAAGATATCACTGTAGAGATCCATTTGATTTCCATCATTGTACAGAGAGAATTGGTCATAAATTTGTTTGAAATAGTTGCTCTGTAAAATTGATTGTTTGTAAAGATTATTTGATTCAAAAGTAGAAGAGCTGTTATATTTAGTTTCTACTTTAGGCTCAACTGAATCATTGGTTTTATCGATGTCTTCATATTCCAGCATTTCATCTATTGTTTTAGATACACAACTCTTTATTGAATGGTCGCATCTCAAAAACTTAGATCCACACCCATTTGTAGAATTAATTCCACATGAAGGTTGAAGATACACAATATTTTCATTCCAAATATCACTAATTCCATCAATTACCATAATATTTCCTAATCCCATTGGAGCAAATGGGGCATGGTTCCTTCTACCATAGAATTCTGGGTAATCTTTTGTAGGGTCAATGCCCTTTGACCTCTGGTGTATTCGAAAATCTTCCCATACTTTGTCAACAAAGCTATGAAGGACATAGAAAACTGGATCAAATGCACCTATCTCTATTTTTCTCATCAGTCCTCCAACCCAGACATGGACATTATTGTGTAACTGTTCAAGATTTCTGCTTGACTTTGTGTCAGGGTAACTGATATTTTCAAGGTTCTCTTCCTCTAAGATGTTTTTCAGATCAGCTGCACTCATGAGATGCCTGAGGGAAGACACTTGCCGATGTAGGAGACCAAAACCAAACTGTGTGTCCCAGTTTGTGAAAGGTCCAGTTTTAACTTGTCCATTTCCATTACCAAGAAATAAGTGTGACCAGATCACAGACTGTGAGGGGTGGGGGAGGGGCTGGTCTAAGGTGCAGTCCCAGTAAGGTAAAGTTACTGTTCCTATCTTGTGTCTCAAGGCATTCTCAAATCTGAAATTATTACAATATCTTCAGAAATGCAAGCATGCAGGTTCACCCCATTTAAGCTATACAATTTTTTTGAAATGCATTTCATGTCCATATATATGATATGCAATGATTTGTTTTTTATGCATACAAATGGACATTGTTATATATTTATATTTTTTTTTTTGCCTTGAATTTAAAATAAAGGATGTATATAAATTCTCTTACAACAATAGAAAGACCCTGTGCCAGCCTAGAAACCCAGGTCCCCCATGAGCGGCAGTATTACTGGACGATCGGGAGTGGATGTTGGCCAGCAGGTCATACTTATTCAGGCTCACTGTCTGCAGAGAAATTTAAAAAGCATCTTAATAAATTAACATTTTAGCTTTGACATCTTCAAAATTTTAAGGTTGTTTTCATTCAAACATGATTGAAACAGCAAGCAATGAAAAGTGACAGAGTTTGCTTTCATTTTTGATTGATACTCATAATTTATAGTTGCAACAATGTAGCCTTTTTCATATTTTTAATCTATTTTCTGGAGAGGCTTCTCCCAAAAAGGACAAAAAATGGAGAGGGTTACATTCTTGCAGCTAGTATACTCACAGAGTCATTCTTCAGCATATTTATGGCAGCATGTAAGTTGTTCCTTTCTTCCTCGGTCAGCAGACGGTACTCCTTCCTCACCCTCGCCTCTCCTTTCTCTGACAGCATGAACAGAGAGTTCAGCCAGGTGACGTCTGCTTCTGTCAGGGGAAACTCAAACCGAGGATCTGATGTAGCGAACATGGACTCGTCATGAATGTCAAAATCCAGAGGCTGCTCAAACTCCACAAATTCTACTTTCACTGAGCCATTGATATTGACTGGATTGATGAATACACCTTGTCCAAGAATTTGTGTTGCTATTTCTAGTAGAAATAGACACAGTAGCTAAAAGCAGTAAGAATTTTAAAAAAAAATTACAATTCATTCTTAATTCATTAAAGCTTTTGCACTTCTTTATAAATTCTGTATTATAGCACATTTATTGCTAGGTTTTGATGATATACACATGTATGTGTGTGCTTGCATGCATTAAAATAATATAATTTTATTGTTTGTGCTCTTGTAATCAAAAAATCAGTTTTTGCTCCTGTGCTGTTTGGTCACAAAAACTTTCACTTTGCTGAAAACTTTTGAAAAAAAATATATATAATTTTATTTTTTTGCAATCTGATCTATCTGATTAAAATCAGATCCTTTGATCACATAGATTGTGTGCAATCTTGTAATCAAAAATTCAGTTTTTGCTCCTTTGCTGTTTAGTCACAAAAGAGCTTTCATGGTTGATGCTAGGCCTTTTCTATCCCTCAGACACATTTCTTGTGATAAGTTCTTCCCCTGCAAACCAAAATATTGACAATTTTACCTTGACCTTTTAGTGTATGACCTACTTTTGAAAAAAAACTTTAACCTTGGCAATACTTTTTAAATGTTTGCTGTTAGGATGTATTCCATGGGAACAAAGAATCTTTACCCTTTGACCTTGACCTACTTTTGAAAAACTTTTACCTTGTCAATAACTTTTGAAGGATTGTTGCTAGGGACTTTATATATTTCATTGATGTATTCCAATCTTTTACATTTGCCATGAACTGCCATATGGGGCATTATAGTGTTTCATAAAAACACAAATCATGTCTACTGAATATATACATATAGAAGCAGTTATATAAATTATACATATACCAAAAATTTCAGATCTTAAAAATATTTGCTACATACCATGTTCTCTTTTATCTGTATATCCACATGACCTTAATTTAACCATACATAAATGTATATATTACTCATCATCAGGATCACACAAGATGTTTACTCATAACTAATGCTAGACTATGTATCTTGTTGGTAGGTGTATACTATATGAATTTTTGCTTTTTAGCCCTGGGCCATATCACAGGTATTTTCTTGACAGTTGAGATGTAATGTGATGTCACATCATCTTATGTAAAAATTTTCTGTAACTGCACTCAACAGTACATTACAATTAGCTGAATGTCAAATATATATAGTACTTAGATTATTCTATAATATTAGAATATCTATTTCCTCATTAAGAACCCAGGTCTCTGTCCTCTCAGCTCTTTTCTTTTAAATTGGGAATAATTGTCATGATCATTATAGGACATTTTTTCCACAAATGTTTAGCACAGCTAGTATTGTTGTCAATCTAAACATAATACCAATAATCCCCAGGCCTTTAGAACATTAGTGAATAACACTAATTAGGGTATTATTATTTTATTTTCATACACAAAGAATGTATACCAGACACACGGGTACATGTTAATGTACTTCAATGAAAACAAATTAAATAAGATATCACAGATCTGTGGACAGATATGTTCTAATTTCACAACTTCACAAACAACGATAATAAATACATGTACATATACACAGCATATGTACATAAAATTATTGTTGTAAGAGTTAAAATTTAATATCACAGAAATAGCTTATGATCCCTTAAATCTGCTCTCCTCTTATTCTCCCTTTCATTCGAATCATCACATACACTCATGTATTCCCAGGATCACTAAGAACTGACTCTATGACCGCGGAACATGGCAGTTTTGTAGCCTCTCAATGGCTCGAGAAAGTTCAATGCCTTCAGCACTAGGTACATTTTCAGGGGTCGTCTCAAACACCCAGGCCAGGATCTTCAGTAATTGGGGCGTGTCCAGATTTGGAGCTCCCCCCATGATCAGCTGTTTCATTTCATCAACTTCTACTTTGCTGTGAAATAATGTAATAATTATTATTTTAAATTTGCCATGAAGAAATGCAATATTGATATAAAATACATATTAACATAATTTTATACCTAATAAGTATTTTTTCACTGTAGTTTATGTGATTTTTTGCTTAGAATACTGGTGAAAAAAGTCCATTGTAAACTATATAAAAAAAACACACTAAAATGATAGAAAACTTACGTGCTCTCTCCAAGCTTTTGTTTAACATCCTCTCCAAACTTGATTCTGTCTTGTTTTATCCATTTAAGAACTTCATCAAGGAATGGCCCAAACCTGCCCTCATCATCCTTAGAAAAAAATCCCACATAGATCCAAATTGTGAACATCGATAAAACTCTCATGAAACAATTCAGAATATTTTTTTAAAAATTGAAAATGTTTTACGAAAACATTAAATTACTTGTATATTTCATATTTTCAAGAAATTTTAGACCCTGGAATATTGATATCAATAAAAAAAAAACTAGTGCTAATTGTAACGGGGACAAACAAATGCTCCCCAAAATATTCCCTGTAAGCTTCATTAAATAAGACAAACTCTATGCATCTGAGATTTTAACAACATTTACAAAGAAGTGTACAAAAATCATTTAAACTTTAGCTTTGCACGCGTGCACATGTGAATGCATTTGCGTCATGACCATATCCTCTTGTCTACACAATCTATATTTTTAATACACTGAATATTAAAGTATTTAATCCAAAATTATTTAAAAAATACGCTCATTCAAGTGTATGATTGATTTTACTCATTTCACGTGCACGCACGTGCATACATGAGCATGGTGACCATACCTTCTTGTAGAAGTCCATTACATCTATCTATGTTCTAAATTCCACCCCGTTTGGGTGAAAACTAAGAGAGTTATAGCTGTTTAAAGTTTCAGCCAATCAGATTGCAGCACGTGTACACGCACGTGTTTGCATGTGCATGGTGACCATACTTACTTGTAGAAGTATATTATATCTATCTATATTCCAAATTCCATCCTGTTTGGTAGAAAACCAAGGGAGTTATAGCTGTTTAAGTTTCAGCCAATCAGATTGCAGCGCACGTGCATGCACGTGTTTTCATGATAATTGCTTTATTTCAAGTTGTAGGATATCCCAATGCATGGCTATGTTCAAAATTTCAAAGGATTTCAAAAAACAAGAAAGATATTGAACTTTCGTTACAGCCAATCAGAGCGAAGTGCACGTGCATGCGCGTGAATGATTTTCACCATGTCGTCATGTCTATACTACTAATACATCCTCACATTATGAGTTTCAAAGCATTTCATATAAAAAAAGAAAAGTTGTGGCTATATCTATTATATTGGTCATTTCACGTGTTGCACGTGCACGCTCTTGCAAGCACGTGCGCGCAAAATGACCTTGATTCCGCAAATCTACATAACATGTCTACTAACCCTAAAAAGGTTTTACCTACATCGGACGAACAGTTTACAAGATCATTCCCGGACAAAAAAGTTCCAGGAAGAAGAAGAAGAAAAATAATAATAACTAGATGAAACTCGTTGCAAGCAACGATCTGCTCCATTCAGGAAAAAAAACGTAAAATCGAGCTGAAAATAAAAAAAAATTCACACAAGGGGATTGAATTCAGCATGAAATTCCAACGCACTAAATATTTCATTATCGGGACATCTACTCTAAATCTACTTGTATATATCAAAAAACAGCGCTTCTCTCTAAAATTATGAAAGGTGGGTCACTATTCAAATTTTAGCGCCAAACGCCACGAGTTAATCTTCGCCCCTTTTCTTTGGAATGTTCTATGAAATAGGTATAATAGCTTCAATGAAATTAATAAAAAGAACGTTCTTATAGCCTAAGATTCGAAGTTTAGAAAGTATGTTTAACACATTTTACAATTTCCATATTGTATATATGCATGTAACACTAAAGCGGTGAAACGGATATGATTTTTTTTTCAATTTCCTGTTTATCCTCAAAGTGAACTATCCCGAATAGTTAATCGAAAAAGGTTGAAAAGTTTCGCCGGAAAACATGGCTTGCCCTACGACTGTCAAATCCGATATCATTTATGCTCAATTACTTGAATCAGGTCTTTAAGACAAGAATGCTAAAATAAACTCCATGAAGCGATCTTTAAAAAAATCGTTTTTTTATTTTTATCTAATTTATTAGTTAAATATGACACAAGTGTGCATAGGAAAAACAGTGGTTAATATTTATGTGACAAAATTAATTGATATTCTTTTTTGAGAAAGTATTACGTATAAGTATGATTTAAGATCTGTTTTTCGGCGATGCACAAGAGATATTAGGTATCGAATTTCATTTGCACATTTAGTCTTTTCTTTTTCTACTTTGAAAACCAGCCAAAACTAATTATAGAAGACGTTAGTTTGACACAGAACTGCAACGTAAATACGACGTGACAATCCATGTATTCCTTTGTCTTTCATTTATTCTTATGTTACTTTCGTTCAAGCAAACGCTAAATTCCGTAAACACCTATTGCGAAATGTCGGCGTTGAGAGAAGAGCCATTTTGGACCCGCTTTATTTTTGAATGCTAATATCTCGAGTTTAGATTTATCAACATTCAAACAAATTGTATAGTAAGCATTACGAGGAGGGTTTCTATTAACATACCAAAAATAAATGAAAAATACTGAAAAACAAAAAAGTTGGAAAATACGATTTTTTTTAATTTGCATCTCGTAACGACCGGAAGTATTGACGACGCACGAGAAGGTGATTCTGCAAACCACAAAGTGACAAACTATCGTCTCCAATAAGTCTCCAGATCATATCTTTAGCCATTTTCGAGAAAAAGGGGCGACAAAATTGCATTTTAAAATCAGGAAATTGTCCATAACTTGGCACCAGAAGCGAATTTTCCAAATTTCTCTACGGATGTAACAACTTCATATAATGAGACATATTTTGTGAAAGTTTCATGAAAAACTGCTGAATAGTTTTCGAGAAATCGCCTGCACAAAATTTTGTCAAAAAAAAGAATAATAATAATAATAATAATAATAAGAATAATAATAAGAAACAATAGAATCACTATAAGGTCTTCCGTGAAGACGGAAGACCTTAATAATAATAATAAGAAACAGAGTAAAAACAATATGTTCCCCAACTCCGTTTGGGGAACATAATAACAAACATAAAGTAATATTAACCTGTTTGAACATTTCTTTGTAGTCGATATCTTCCGTATTCTGAGCCTCCAGTTCCAGTTCAGCCCCCTTGATCAGCGCTGCCATGGATTCCTCATCCACAGCCGGAAGCACCGTCCGGATTCCAGTTCTCAGCTCATCCTTGGTGATCTTTCCCGGATTTCCTTTCTCTACATCAATGGATGTCAGTTGATTCAGAAGCTGTTCTATTTTGGCCATCTGATCATGGTAAATTTCTTCATCAATCTGAAAAGAGTTTTCATTTGCTTTTGAATGAATCATGGTGAATCCATGTGGGAAGGCTCAAAACAGAAATTGTTATTTGTCATTTCAATATAAGAACCAAATTCAAATAACAAGATAAATTTCTAGCACCAAAGCAAATGATTTATCAAAACTCCTAAAGGTAAAAGACATTAACAGTGGTCCAATGAACTTTCTTACATTGCCCTCCAGAACTCCCCAGAACATTCCGACCAGCTCATCACTGGAGTATTTCTGACAGGCGTCGTGAAGGTTGTATCCCCATTCCACCTTCATCTGCTCCATAGCAAACCGCCTGCTGAGGTAGATATCCAGGAAGTCAGCCATGGAGTCCCTTCTCTCCCCATCACCTTTCTGTTGAAAAAAAAATTACAGAAGATTGAAAATAGCTATCAGTTCCTCAATGCTATAACAAACCAAATTTTAGTTTTGAAATCTAGAAAGTTTAAACATATTTTGTACTTTTTTCCCATGACGGATATTTGGTCACAAATTATCCATCATGGAAATTGGTCACAGTGTACTTTAAGTGCATTTAAGACACAGCAAGACCATCCAAAAAATCTGCTTAATTTTCAAGATAATGATTAAATAGAATTTTTTTTTTTACTGACTTAACACAGTGGAAAGTACTTTTGCATTATTCTAGGGTTTTCCCAACTGAAAAGTAATTAAATTACTCTTATGAACGTACAGATGCATCATGGGCAGCTTTCTCCCTCCAGATGTCTCTGATAAGGAGGAGACAATCTCTTTTTCCCAGACGACGATTCCTTACAGGCCCATCATATCTCAGGTATTTTGGAACTGACGGACCAGTTCCCTAAAAAAGGAAAGATTTCATTTTAATTCTAGTATGTAGCTATTTAAAAAAGTTTAGTTGTATAAAAATAAAAATTCGTTAAATGATTTTTTTGTTCAT